CTCCCTCTCGGCGGCGCTGGCGCGCAGGGCCGCTGCCTCGCGGGCCAGCTGCGCTACCTGGCGGCGTCGAGAAACGGCAAAAACGACGACGACGACGACGACGGCGACGGCGACGACGACGACGACGACGACGACGGATATTCAAAGGGGGGCGCGGGCGCCTGTTTTGCCTCCTCGGCGAGGCTCAGCGCAGATGCCGCCCGGCTGGCCGCGGCGTCCGCCCGGGCCGACGCGGCCTGGGCCGAGGCCTGGCGGGGAGGGGGCCGGAGATGCGGTAGCCGCACCAGGTGGCGAGATCCGATCCCCACCCCACACCGAACATCTAACGGCCTCCTGGATGGGGTCCGAGTGGATGGGGTCGGAGGATCGCACGCTTCGCCGAGGCATCGGCGATGCATCGACGTCGGCGGTGCATCGGCGACGCCGGCGTGGAGAACATCGGGCTCCACCTCGAGCCGCATCGCCGAGGCATCGGCGATGCGGCGCGCTCCTCCGACCCCACCCGCTCGGGCCCCGTCCGGGAGGCCCAGAACCAGCCGTCCGTGCTCCCGAACATCGACGGGGGGGGCGGGCCTCCGGGGTGCCAGGAGGGGGCCCGAAGCATCCACATGCGGGGGCCCAGGGGCACAAAGGACTACACACACAAGTCCCAGGGGTTCCCCATCTGTTCCTACATCTTTGCTGTGTTCGTCTTCCCCCCCACGTCCCATAGTTTCGCATATCTTCTGGGAATCGACGATTCATCGTGTCTGTGCTTTTTGTTACTTCCCTCCTGAGCATTATCAGTATCCACCGCCTGGCGAGCCGAGCTTCCTGGGACTCGGCAGGTGGTGGACGGACAACGGTCGGGGGGAGGGCTGGCTCTGGTGAGGAACACGCAAATGTTCGATGGGCCCGGGGCCTGATAACGGGCTCCAAAGGCCACAACGCGCGGATAGAAGAAACAACATGCTTGTCAGCGTGGATCCAAGCACCCATTCTTTACAATGCACGCGGTGCATCCGAGTGGTGCAATCAATGTCGTGCAATGTAGGCGGTGCACTCCATGCGGTCCCGTCGATGTCTTGCAAAGCAAATCGCGTCAATGCAAAATAATGCAGTGCAAATGCATTGCCATGCAATGCAATGCGATCGCAACACTATACGATTGCAAAACAATAAAGGATGCAACGGTATAATACAACGCAACGCGAAGCAACGTGCTAACACAATACAACGTATAGGATAGAGGATATAACGGTATAACACAATACAATACAATAGAGGAATCCACTACGCGAAACAACGTATAGGATAGAGGATGCAACGGTATAATACAATGCAATGCTAACGAATACAACGTGCCGCGAAGCAATGCAACGCAATGCGAAGCAGTACACAACAATGCGAAACCATGCAGTGCAATGCGATTGTGACGCAATGATGGAATGGATTGCGACTGCAGTGCCATGCGACGCAAAGGAATCTAATACACTACAATTGCAAAGTACGGTGCAGAGTTGCGGCTGCAATGCCACGGAGGGGTGCAACGGAGCGAGGCGACGCCATGCGGAGCACTGCAGCACAGTGCGATTGCAGTGCCATGCTCTGCGAAACGAGGCGACGCCATGCGACCGCAGCGCCACGCGACTGTAACGCAAAGCTAGATTGCCATGCAGCGGGGGAGGGGGGGGGGGGCCTCCGCCTCCGCCTCCGCGCCTCCTTCCCTCCTCCTCCGCCTCCTCCTCCCTCCTCCCCTCCTCCCTCCCCCCTCCTCCTCCTCTCCTCCCTCCTCCTCCGCCTCCTCCTCCTCCTCCTCCTCCTCCTCCTCCTCCTCCTCCTCCTCCTCCTCCTCCTCCTCCTCGGCACGGAGCCGCCGGGGGGCCCCCGTCGGGGCTGCTGTGCGGAGGAGGCGGGCGGGGCGACGCACGGGGACGGGGCTGCTGGGGCCGGGCCCGGGCCCGGCTGCAGCGGGAGCTCGACCACGGGAGACCCTCGGCGAGAAGCAACGCCCTGAGATCCCAGGGCGACCACTGATTTCTGTGGTGGGGAGGTCACGATTCCCATTAAGAAAAGCAGAGCCATCGAAACCCAAGAAACCGAGGGTACCCTTCGAGGCAAGCAGGGTGCTTCTTGGCATGGGCTTCCACTGTAAGGACTCTTCGAATCGTCGGAGATCTATCTGCCGCAGGCAGCCCCGACACCAAAGAAAGCAAACGCAGAAAGACAGCTGAGCGGGAGGACTCTGGGCCTCGTTTTGTCTTCCACGAACCAACGCAGTGACGATAAGCATTGCCAGTCTCTCCACTGGTGCAAAGGTGACTCCAGCATGCGACGCACAAGCCCCAGGCGCGATTTTTGGACATGCCAACGCATTTAGTTGTTCGTGCTCTTGTGCATGCCGCTGCGCGAGCTCCCACACGTAGTGTCAGACAACGCCCGCGCGCGCGGGTGGAGAGATGGCAGCCTCGAGCACGCTGCGCTGGAGCACTGCAGCGTTGAGCACGAGCGGAAGCAGTGTGGTGGACGGCCCGAGCAACAGACAACGCCAGGACATGCTGCATGCACAACCTCGCTCCATGCTATGACATGCTCCATGCCATGACCATGCTCCATGACCATGCTATGACCATGCTCCATGCTACCGCGAGTCATCGTGCTATGACCATGCTCCATGCTATGACATGCTCCAAGCACCACCAGCCTTTGAGCGGTGGCGGTCTCGCGCGCAACGACAACGCGTAGAAAGTCCGACTGCCACCGCCAACGCGAACCCCGCGCGCGTCGGGCCTTCAGAACAGGGAGGCCCCGCGCCGTGTTGGCGTGGGTGGCCGGTGAGGAGGACACACACGGGACGGCGAGAACACATCATCTAGTTCTCTTAATCCTCCCTCGCTCTCTCGGGGCGACCGCCGCGCCTCTTCCTCCCCCCTCATTCCTCCCTCCCTCCTCCCTCGCTCTCTCGCTCCTCGCTGCCTCCCTCATCCCTCCCTCTCCTCCGAACTTCTCCCCCCTCCCTTCCTCCCTCCCTCCCTCCACTTTTCCGTACCTCCCCACCTCCCTCCTCGTTCCCTCCCTCCCTCCCTCCCTCCCTCCTCGTTCCCTCCCTCCCTCCCTCCCCCCTCCCCCTCCCTCCCTCCTTCCCTCGCTCCTGGTTCCCTTCCCCTTTCCCTCCCTCGCTCTCCCCCGCTCCCAGCGCGGGGCCTCGTGCTCCCGCGCCGCGGCCAGGGCCCGGGCCGCGCCCGCCGCCCCCGCGCGGGCCGCCGCCAGGGCGCCGCCGTCGCCCTCGCCAGCGTCCCTGGGGGGCGGGGGGGGGCAATAGTTATATCCACATCCAGTGCGTCTTAGAGTCTTGGGCTCTCTTCCCCAAAAACCGTAGACGCACTGGATATGGATAAAAATCTGGCCCCGAGAGGCTTGATGTTATCCATTATCAGTGCGCCTCGGCGTTGCGACACCTCTTCCCAAAACATCCAAGACGCTCTGGATATGGATATAAGTACTGCCCGCAGGGGGGGGGCACCGTCGGGGGTCGAGGGTCGGTGGAGTGTGATGATCCAACAGCTCATCATCGTCACAGGGTTCGCAGACGAATACTCCAGATCTCGTAATGAAAGGGAGGGGGTCCTGGATCCTCCAAGACAAGCCATTTCAGACCTCCCCCGTGGGAGAACCCTCCAAAACATCGTCCCCAGACCCCCCAGGCCCTCCAAGATAGCCTGGAAGAGACCCCCCCGAAATGAGACCCCCCTCCCTTTATTACGAAACCTGGAGTAGGTTGTCTGAGACTGGTCGTGCTCCGCCGGAGGAGCTGCCAGCTGTCTCCTCGGGTGGCACGGTCACCGAAGAAGTGCGGGCGATGACCTTCTCGGGCTCTTGACTAGGCGCTGCAGGATCGAGAATGGCACTGCAGACCTGTTCTGACTTCTCAATACCTGGTCGGGTGCCATCGAGTCTACGCACAGTCACCATGTTCAGACTTTAAAGCGATCCCAAGGGAGCATCATAACTTTCTGGTCCAACAAATCCCCCCCCGCTTTGTGTACATACCCAATACCTATGTACATGTAACGAAAAATACCTGGGACCATGGGGGCCACCTTGCACCGCGATTCAGGTGGAGACATATAGCGGTTAAGGAAGCCAGAAGGAAGAAATGCTGAAGGGAAGTGAGGCCCGAATCCGGTCTGCCAATGTGATGTCCCTCTTTGTCCCGTCTTGCGTTGTGGAAGAGATAATTGTATCTTACGGCGTAAACCGAGAATGGAAGTGGTAAACCGGAGGCGTATAATAAAACACGAGCGTCTATCTGTGCGAAACCGTTCGATCGATCGGCGGCTGCCGTGAGATCCTTCTTGTCAGGGATGGTAACATCATGCGCAATTCGAACTTCCTGGCAAGAATGTTTTAGCTCGCGGACACCGTCCGTGAAGCAATGTCTTCGTTCTTCCCCCAAGGTTTTACGCTTCTCCAAGCAATTGCACACATGCCCCGTTGATTTATTGCAAGAACCTTGCGCCGCAATGAAATTCGCGAACGGGTCGCGAGATATCACGTACGCAATTTCTCCATCCGCCGCGAACCACTGACACATGGTGGTGAGGTGTCCAATGCAAGGTGGGTCAGAATGGGGCTAAGCGACGTCAAATAACTCTTCGCCAGCTTGGCCAACCATATCGCCTGCTTCTGGCTAAACAGGAGCGAGCGTATAATCGAAGCACCCATCTTCCTCATGATGGGGCAGATTCCTCGAGAATTATCAAAAAAATCGTTCGCGCCCCCCGGCCGATAAACCGCCGACTGCGTCCATGGCGGCGGGCTGGCATTAACGATGCCCGCTGCGCATTGCGACCAACCCCGTTTCCGGGCAATCGCGGGCGAGTAACAAAAGTATGCGAGATCACCCGCAGGTATTTCGGCTGGGAAATCACTGCCCAATTGGATCGGTCGTCCGTCTTGGCAGCTGTGCATGACAACCAGCTCTTGTGCGGATCCTGATGGAGTTAACGGGAGGACCTCCTATCGCCTCTACGTCGTCCAGCCATCGCTCGGACGTCCAGTCCCTGTGTTTTTTTTCCGGTTTCGTGCGTGATTTTTTCGCCAAATGATTAAGGATGCTCCTCGATGACCCTCGCCAAAGGAAAAATGCACACGCCCGAGCGATGCCAAGTCGTCCCCGCGCAAACCCCCGCACCTCAGGAGCAACTGCTCCCTGGGCGACGGCGCAGCTCCACCGGCCTAGGGCCGCGCTGCCCGACAGCGTGAGGCGTGGTAGTTTTTGCCCGCCAACTGTCAAACTGACCCTCTGGCCATCAGGCACGACTGATATGGGGCTCGCGCGCGGGCCAATAAAAAAACTGCGCCCGCGATCCCATGAGCCGTTCCCCAACTGAAAGCGCGCTCGGGCTTTCGGGCGCGACGAGTGCTTTGGAATGGCCGCCTTGAAATGTGTTACGCGCCATGCTAACTGAACCAGGCCTGGGGGCCGCACTAGAACCCCCGGCAAAGTTTAGGGTAATCTGAGGAAAGGGAAACACTTCCTGATTTCATCAGCAGTAATAGCGCTCTTGCTGAATCATCTCGAAGTTCGATCCGCAGCCGGTGCCAACGATAAGACGCGTTGAACCCATGCCGACGTGGTCATTTCGTTTTTCCCGACGGCAGCATCGCCTTCAGTCTCGTCCTCCCAGCCTGACAGAAGCTACCAAACATCACCCTCGAGATGAGAAGCCCAGGGCATCGCCTTGGAAAGACGCGCCTTTGACGAAAGGGTCATGTTAGACTTTGTTACTTTTGGAAAAAAAGACATCTGTCCTTACCAGATGATGGGAGTGCATTCCCTACTCGGGTTCCTCTAATAGTCGCGGTAGGATTTCTAGCGAGATGATCAAAACAAACAGCCAGACCGCGCGGCGCGGAAAGCGCAGTCTTCGCGCAGCTCTGACTAGGGATCGCGCAGCACGGAGTCTCAGCGGCATCCCTCGCAAAATGACATGAGGCATAGGGAGGAAGGGCCCCTCCCGATCTGCCATATCTGAGATGGTGACAGGTGCTGAATCCATCGTGTCTCAAATATACCCCACGTATGACGTGGGTGCTGAATGGGAAACGCCATTGGAACAACGGCCCTTGTCAGCAGACGCCGGCTCGTCGGAATGCGCACCGAATTTCACCGGCGCTGGACAAGCACCACGAGTGCAAGATATGTCCTTTCCGGGCGCGGCCTGTTGCCACGCCGCCGCCGTCTATAGAGCGACGCTCCAAAGTGAAGGCAGAACGCGCGCATCGGAACAGAATCGCAGCCATGCCCATCGAATGAAACTGTAAATGACCAGCAAATCCAAGAGAGCGAGGTGCTGAGCCGGGGCGCCCGGCGCAAGCTGGGTGGCGACCTTGCGCGCTGTCGCGGCGGTCGGCGTGCATGGCTAGGCCCTGCGCCGGCCGGGGCTCTGCAGCCCTCGTGCTGGCCCGCCCCCGCGCATCTTTGGGCCTGCTGGTGGGTCAACGAAGCCTCGCTGCCAAACTGGCCATCGCTCGGACGTCCATTCCCTGGGTTTTTGTGTTCGGTTTCGTGCGTGTGTTTTGGCCAAGTGATCAAGGATGCTCCTCGATGGTCCTCGCCGAAGGAAAAATGCACACGTTCGAGCGATGCCAAGCAAAGGGTAGCGGCAGTTGCGATGCCGCTGCCGTGGCCGCCCGCCATCTGCGCGGGCGGTTGCCATGGGTCTCCGTCCCCCTGTAGGCTCCGAGTGCTCGCATCTGGCTGTCCACCAGGCTGTGTGCGCCGCCCTGCTCCGTCCAGCTCCAGCAAGGCGACTCCCTCTGCCTTTGCCACTCCCCTTGCCACCGGCACTTCTCTGGCTGCCGTTCTTGATGCCAGCGTCAGAACGAGCAGCAGGAAAAAGCTTTGGCCGCACTAGCCGCTGCAGATTCAGCCTGTTTTTGCGTGCGCTCATATGTCGACTTTGCTGCTTGCTGCTCGGCGCGTTCCCGCCAGTCCCGTCGCAACACTTCCACAGGGGTAAATTTCCGACGCTGGCGGTAACGAGGAGGATCATTATGTTGGCCACGGCACCTGCCTCTCGAGAAGGCGCAACAAAACAATGTGTTATGTTGTTCTTCCGTGGGACACTTTGACGACTTTCACTGACCTTTGGGCCCTGGGGCAGATGGTCTGTCTTTAATTACATAGGTCTTGCCAAATTCCTCCATTTCTGACTTGGGCTTCCCAGCTGGCGGAGCTGGCTGCAGTGCACGGGTTGCCTCGGGCTTCCTATGAAAAAATGGGACACGAGCCATTGTTCTGTAGATGCTCACATGGAACGTCTTACTTGGATCGTTCGTCTTGCGTTCTGTCCGCGGGTTTCCCCGGCGATTTTTCGGATCAATCAGACCATGAGCATCAATTTCGCCCTGATCTTGCACTCTTTCTCATGGGAAAATCCTTCGGCACTCAAGATTCGGTTCGTTCCTCTCTTTGTCCATGATCTTCCGCATGTGCCATAGCAAAAAATTCACATAGTTTGACATCTGAACCCATAATCAGTCACAACCCGTGTCATCTCCGAGGCCAATTTCATCTGCTCGTGAAATTGTTCATGGCTCGCTGCTACCACCCCCGGGGATGGTCCAGAGCCTCCTCATAGGTCACTGTGCAGAGCCATCAGTTCATTGTGGAAACGGTCAAAGGTAATCGTTTGGTTGGTTCTTACAGGTGACGAGTTTGAAAGGATCTGTTTTGCCACGTTCTGCATGAATGGAAAACCATTGGTGAATTCGACGCATCATGTCTCGTCCCGCGAACGAGCGAGATTCCTCGTGCGTATGACCATGCCTTGGACATTCAATCACTCTCACACTCACAAATGGCAGCGTGTGATCTTCAAAACTCACACTGTCGCAACCCACTCAGTGCTCCCACTTCTTGGCTTCTGGCCCGTCGCACAAGGCGCATCGAACAACTCATCTGTGTGTTTGCCTTTTGGAGTGTCAGTTCCCAGGCCCGCGCAGGGCTTGGCAATGCGCAGCAGGGCCCAGCAGCGGCTAGCAGGGCTTAGCAGCTTCTACCAGGTCCCAGCAGGGCTTAACATGGCACAGCAGAGCGTAGCATAGCAGGCCTAAGCGTAGCTTGCATCGTTATCGAGCATCAGAGCTTACACTGCCCGGCCGTCGCAGAGCCGTGCGTTGCTTAGCAGGGCCTAGCAAGGCCTAGCACGACATGGAAGGGCTGAGTTGGGCTTCGCAAGAAACTGCAAGACTTGCCAGGTCTTGGCAGAGGATTGCTGGACTCAGCATGCCTCATCAACACGGCTTGGGCAAGGCGAGGCGAGGCGAGCCAGCGTTGGTGCGGGTGAATCACTAGCACCCAGCTGAAGGAAGGAAGACGACACAGGGGTCGAATGTGACTCCTATCCCTCCGGCGCAGAACAGGGCAGAGCCCTAGGGGCACTGCACGAGACAAGATCGCCGCACCAGCCTCGAACTACTGCCTAGAGCTGCGGTTTGACACTATATAAGCCTCATCCAGTCGACAAATCCCAGTTGATAGAAACGCGCCTTTCGCGCCCCATGGTGCACCCCCTCCAGTTGACAAATCGCGCCTGGGACCAGCAATTTGTCAACTGGGCAACGGTCTGATCACGAAGAAGCTCGGTATATAGCATCGCACGCGGATCTGGCGGCCACCCTTGTTTTTCTTAAAGGCGTCCTTCGCCAGACCAGACATTTCGGATCTTGACCGATGCGCACCGCCTAAAAACATCACGGGGGTAGCGTGGCAACCGCTATGGATAAGACTGCGCGCGCCCTGAGCGGGCACTCGGCCCCCAGCCTGAGCCAATAAGGCCCCCGTGGCCATTGGGACATGTGGGACCTGCGAGGCCTGCGAGACCTGAGGGGCATGTGGGACAGGTTAGGCCTGATAGGCCTGTGAGGCCTGTGGGGCCTAAGGGACCTGCGACACCTGTGGGACCTGTGAGAAATGTGGGGCGTGGGACCTGTCAAACCTGCGAGACCTGCGAAACCCGTGGAACCTGGGGCACCCGTTGGACCTGCGACGCCTGCGACGCCTCCGTGACCTGCGGGGCCTGCGGGACGGGCGCCCTGAGGCCGAACACAAACCCAAACCGCCCGCTCCAATGTTTTGGGGGCGTTGGAACCCTGGGATTCTCATGACTGCTCTGTTTGCGCTGCTTCAGGGGAGCGTCTGGAACCAGATATGCCTCAAGGAAGAGTCAGCCAGTACGATTGGGCGACACATGCATGTGAGAATGCGCCACCTGTAGCCACAGCGGCTCCGCATCACCTGTCAGAGAGGCGCCTACTCGTTCGGGCTCACGGGTTGCATGGGCCCTGAGGTGTGGGTCGAGGCTGCTCCTCTCGAAGGGGCCGCCCGCGCCTGCTGGTGCCGAACTCCTTGTCCGCGGCCGGGGGCAGCGCCTCCCTCCCCTACGAGCAGGAGGGTGGGGTGGGGGCAGGAGCGAGGGGTGGGGGCGGTGGGGGAAGGGACGTCCTCCTCTTCCACCCTCCTCCTCCTCCTCCTCCTCCCCCCCCCTCCTCCTCTTGCTCCTCCTCCTCCTCATCCTGCTCCTCCTGCTCCTCCTTTTCCTCCTCCTCCTCCTCCTTTTCCTCCTTCTCCTCCTCCTCCTCCTCCTTCTCCTCCTCACGTCCAGCAGGGGAGCAGAGGTATCCCTACCATCCTTTCCATGGGTATGGAGGACAGGTATCCCTACCCTCCTCTGCGTTTCTATGAGCTGACGCACGCGTGTGCACGCGCCCTGTTCCTCCGCCGGGCGCTCACGACCCCGCTCGCGCCTCCTCGGCATTGCTCCATTGCTCCTCCTGCCCGCGTGCTCCATCCCGCTCCCCTCCCCACGTTGAGGGGTGAGGGGGCAGGGCGCGGGAAGGGAGAAACGAGAGCGGGCGAGAGGGAGGTGCCTGGCGTGGTGACGCTCAGGAGGCCCGAAGTGGGATCGAGATGCAGATCGAGCCCATCAATGCCCTCTGAGAGCCAAGTCCAGCCTGCAGGGATTTAGCCTCGCAGCCACTGGCACGGGGTTGTACCAACACCTTGGACCGCGTGCTCTTGGATGTGAGGAGTGGCGGCGTAATCGAAGATAGCTGCATTCGCGAAATATGCAGTAAAACGGTTACAACGCACCTCTGGCAACGACGACTCACACACACATACACACACCCGAGGCAGCCGCGACACGGACCAGACCGTGGAGGCGTGATTCGGAAAGCATGGCCGACAATTGAAAGGCTCCTATGTGGTCCAGTCGGTCCAGGGCACGGAGATGGCTGCAAAGGTCAACTGTGTGGGCCCCATCTTCTGACCCCATCCACTAACCCGAGTAAGCGATTAAGGACCCCCCCCCTCTCCGGTGAAAGGATAACGCACCCGGCACCCGGAAGCGTTATCCTGGCACCAGGAGGGGGTACACCAGATCGCACCTCGCATTCTTATTCTCATTACAATTCTAATTGGGATGCCACCCGAGGCGGGGCGCTGGAATTATTTATTTTCCTTCCATTTGCGCGGTGCTAATAATATCGCTCGGCGAAAACCCCCCTAAATAATTATTTAATTACGGCGCGGTGCTAATGATAACGCCGGGGGGTTCCTTAATTGCTTCTCCGGGTTATGGTGCTCCGCGGTCATCCTCAGCAGGCTCTCTAGAGCGTCTGGCGATTAGAGCCCAGGAAGTTGAGCCAATCGGGGCCTCCTATGCTCTGTTCGGGCCCCATCGGCAAGCGAGCACACTGCCACCGTGCTCGCTTGCTGTCCAAGACGCGGGCCCTCCCACCCCCCCTGCGGTGGTATCCTTCCTCGTCGGGGCCCGACTCTGGACGGCCCCAGGCCACGGAAACAGCTCCGGGCCGGCCCGAACTGCCCCTGGAGGGTTAAGCATGGCCAGGGCCGCGGCGGAACGTGATGGGACTGTTTTCCACCATCACCACCGTAAGTTGGAGGGAGGAAGGAGGTGGAGGACGAGGAGGAGGAGGAGGAGGAGGAGGAGGAGGAGGAGGAGGAGGAGGAAGACCCCCTTTCCCTCCAACTTGTGGTGGCGGTGGTGGAGAACAGGCCCATCCGAGCAACCGCGGCCCTCGATCCCGGGAGGCGCCCCGCGAGCCGAGCGCCGAGCGGCCCCCGATCCGGCGGCGTGCCCCGCAACGGCCTCGGTCCTCGGGCCGCGCCCGCCGCTCGGCGGGCCCGGGCCCCCCGGGGCTCTCGCGGGGCGGCGGGCGGCGGGCACGCCATGCCTCCCTCGGGCCGGACGCAAGGGGCGGATAGCAGAGGGGGGATCTGACAGTCAGCTCGCGTATAGCTGACTTTCCCGGCGCCTCCCGGCGCCGGGAGGCGCCCATATGTACCGAGGACTGGGCCCGGCGGCGGGGCCGAAACCAGCTGCACGCGGCAGATTTCGTAACCACCCCTTTCCCTATTCCCCCCCCTCTTTCGTTCGGCCCGATTCCTGCGGGCGGGGAGGCACCCACTCCCAGGCACCTCGCGTGACCGCGCCTCCGGCAGAGGCATTCCGAGCGAGGTCTGAGCGGAGTGGGGTCGGAGGACCGGGCCGCACCGCTGGTGCGGTGGGGGGTGCGGCTCGACTTGGGGCCCGATTTCCTCCACGCCGATGCCGCCGATGCATGGCCGACGTCGGCGACGAATCGCTGATGCGCCAGCGATGCATCAACGATGCGGCGCGATCCTCCGACCCCACCTGCTCGGGCACGACTTGTGAAGCCTAGGCTCAAATCGGTGGATATGGATATGGAATGAACCTTTCGCGCGGATTCGATCCTCGATGCCGTCTGTGCCCACGGCGGCACCGACATCGACAACAAGCCAAAACGATGGCGAATCCGAAACGGGCGGGCCCGCAGCGGCGGAGCCAGCAAAACCTCCGAAGCCCCAGGAGCCCAGGGCACCCTGGAGGCGAGCAAGGTTGAAGGGGGCAATGGGACACACAAATAAATAGACACAAATAACCGGACTCCCCACATTTCCCCATCTTTTCTGGGAGTCGACGATTCATAGTGTCTGCGTGCTTTTTCCCCTCCTGCAGGGCGTCTCGTGGCACGGGCCTCCACTGCAGACTCTCAGAGGGCCGCGCGGAGGTCCCGCATCGGGCGCGCGGAGCGCGCCAGGGGCGGGGCCCATGCTGCCCCCATCGTGCTTGAGACCACATCCCAGAAATCCGCCGGCCCCCTTGCGGGGCCATCAGGCTGCGAGGCTTAGGCTTGCTGCTCCCTGCGCCACTTCCAGCTTCCAGTTTCCATTGTTGCAATACTGATTTCTGCTTCCTGCTGTGAATTGTTACTGTCCGCGCGAGGGGGGGGAACCGAAAAGGACCCTGGTTAGCACCCCCCCCGGAGGGCACCCAGAAAATGATCGAAACACTGTTGAACGAGTATCGCCTCCGAGGGCCCGACACGTGAAAACCCGCCAGTTTCGGTACTTGCTTGGTGCTCAGAGTCGATCCCTTGAAAATCAGCGCGGACCTCAGAAAACAGCGCGGACCTCAAACAATGTGTCTCAACTGGACGAGATCCGCGGCGACACCGACAGCAAGCCCTGACTTCTGGCCCACAATTTCTGGACCCATTCTGTCGGGTACCTACTGGCCCGGGTCAATCCAGACCCGGGTCAGGTGAGCCGTGCAGGATCTGGCAAGATCCTGCAGGATCCTCCACCCAAACCCGGATCAGAGCGCCCCTGGCCCTGCAGAATCCTGCAAGACCTGGCGCTCTGACTGACTCCCGTTTGCATCGACTCTCATCACTCGAGCCCCGATCTGGTCGTAATTGCCGATCCCCGGCCGAGAGGAGGAGAGCCCAGAAATGAATCGACAAGTCGGATCGGCGATCGAGATGGATCGGATCGGCGGGAATCGGCAGCCGAGTCGGGAGAAGCCGAATCGGCGGAAATCGGCAGGCCAGCTTGCCTCCGATGAGACATCGGAACCCAGATTTATTTCCGACGAATAATGAAAAAATACCCCAAACATACCCCAAAAAGGCAAAAAATGCTAGAAAAAAGTCACCATATTATTTTTGGACTATGTTTTGATTATTTGTGGGTTATCTTTTTATTTTTTGTCGAAAATCCCCCTGTAGGGGGACAGGCCCGACTTAAGCCCAGATCGGCATCTCGGGCCGAATATCGAATCGGAATCGGAGGCCATCGAGGGATCGAAGCGCATCGAGTCGGAGGAATCGGAGCGAGCCCTTCGAGCACGCCGAGCGAGAGCCGAGCGGGCGTGCCCTCCCCGCCCGCGCGCTCGCCGCCGAGGGCACCCGTGACTCCCCCACCCCCCCATGATGGGCCTGCTTTCCACCACCACCACTATAAGTCGGAGGAGGAGGAGGAGGACGACGAGGAGGAGGAGGAGGAGGAGGAGGAGAACGAAGAGGAGGAGGAAGAGGACGAGGAGGAGGAGAACGAAGAGGAGGAGGAAGAGGACAAGGAGGAGGAGGAGGACCCCCTCCCCCTCCAACTTATGGTGAGGTGGTGGTGGTTGAAAACAGGCACATCACCCCATGATCAGGTTGGGCGTGTCCCCCTACAGGCGGATGTTGGACGAAAGATGAAACAAATACCCCCAAAATGCCCCCCTGATTGGCAAAAACAAAAAAAACGCAAAGAAATCGTCCCCAGACTATTTTTTGACTATTTCCGAATCTTCCCCCCACAGGGGGACACGCCCGACGTATCCCCAGGATCAGTCCGCATCGAAGTGGGAGATCGGATCGGACCGAAATCTTCGTTGGATTTGACTGCATCGGCACGGACTCGGAACCGAATCGGATCGACTGCGCCAAGATCCACAACAGCGCCGTGTACCGGACAACACCAACATCGCTGGAAAACAGGGCCAGATGGTTGGAGTACCGGATCCGGCCCCGATCGGGTCGGCCAAAACCGACATACAGTCAAAACGAGACGGGTGGTGAGAACGCAAGACCCTTGGAGGCCGAAGCCGGGATGTGTGTTTTTCTAATGCAGCGGGCGACCAGTGAGAACGGAAAAGGACGGGGCCGCAGAGGCAGGGACCCGGGACACGGGGGCACCCTAGAAGAAGGCGCCCGTCCTCACTCGGGGGCGCGCAAACGTGGATTAGCCCGTCCTCGCTCGGGGGCCCTCCCCAAAAGGCGGCCGGTGCCGCCTCGTTCGGCGGCGGACTTCCGCGATGGCCCATGGGGACGGGAACCGTCCCCCTGGATCCATGCTTGCGATCGCCCGATCGGCGGTGGACGAACCTCCCTTCAGTAACCCTCCATTTCGTGAAAACGGCCTGAGACCGAAACCAGCGGACTTGGACCCGGCCGCGACGCCTTCTCGCGAACCGAAAACGGCCAATTCCTTAAAATCGACGTGTCAGGGTAGGAGGCCTGTCCACCCCCGACCCGACTTACGCGGCGCGTGGACCGCAGGATCGGCTGGAGAAATGAGCCCTGCCCCCTCCCCCCGTCCGCAGTCACGGCCCGCAGCTGCGCCACCATGCTCGCCTCGGCAGGCCCGCGCCCCCCCCCCCCTTAGAGCCGAGGCTCATCGGAGCAGGGCGCGAGCTCAACTGCGTTTTGTCCGTGTTGAGCTCGTGCTCGCTCTCCCTCGTTCTGCCTTCGCTCCGCCTTCGCTGCAAGGCGAGAGCAAAACGCAAAAACGGCCCACGGAATCGAACATGCACCGCTCAGCTCGCGACGTGCCTCAGAGCGCGTGCGGGCGCCCACGCATGCTTCTCCACCGAAGCCCTTCGACACACGCAGGCGCAGGCTGCGTGCTGCCGCTGGAGCCGAACACGGCAAGAGCAAACTCAGCAAACTCAGGTCCCAGGCGGGCCAGCCCCCAGTGGGGGCTAGCACGGAGCGGTTCAAGAACGAGGCCCCTTGCTTCGGCGTGCCATCGGGCAGTCACGCGCAGGCAGTACGAAGCCCTTCCTGCTCCTCCCACCGAGGGCCAGGAGGAAGGATAGGTGTCGGGTCGAGGATCGAGGATCGAGAGCTGTCGTTCCCCGAATCTCTAGGCATCCCCGCGGCCCGCGCAAGAAACATAAAATTCACCCTCTTACTCCTTGCCATCCTCATCATTATAGTCATCAGAATGATCCTCGTCATCATCGACATCGCCAGTCGTCGTCATCAGCGTGATCGTAATGATGATCCATCTCTGTTTCCGTAGCAGCATCGCGATCACGATCACGATCACGATCACGTTCACGATCATCTGCACTTCTGCCTCCCCCTCGCCCTCCCCTCTCACAATCGCCCCCGCCAGTCGGCGTCATCATCCTGATCATTTGGCTCACCGTCACCATCACCTCTAATGAACCTCTTGTGGTGGTGTCTCGAACGGGAGGCGGGAGCCTAGTCTGCAGGTCGCAGAGGCGCCTCGGACGGGATCCTCCCCGACAGGGGCCCCACATGATCCTCGTTCTTTGGCCTGCTGCGTCGCCCCCGTCCTCCCCTCCGAGAAATATGCTGTATCCCCCCCACGCTGTAGCGTCCCTTACGGGGGAGGAGGGGGAGGAGGAGGAGGAGGAGGAGGAGGAGGAGGAGGAGGAGGAGGAGGAGGAGGAGGAGGAGGAGGAGGAGGAGGAGGAGGAGGAGGAGGAGGAGGAGGAGGAGGAGGGGGGGGAGGGAGGGGCTGGGCCCCGTGGGGGCTGACGTCGGGCCCCGCGGGGGGGGGGGGGGGCCCTGGCGCCGGACGACGACGCCGACGACGCCGACGAGGGCGACAACGACGGCGACAACGACGACGACGGCGACGAGGACGTGGAACGACGACGACGAAGACGAGCAGACGAAGACGAGGAGAACGAGACCGACGACGACGAAGACGACGAGGACGCCGAGGACGACGAAGACGACGATGACGACGACGGCCACGACGACGAAGGCCGCCTCTGGAGGTCTCAGGAGATCTCCGGGGGCCTATGGTAGTCTCCAGAAATCTCTGGAAGATTCTGCAGGACCTTCGAGGCACTCGACGACGCCGACGACGAGGACGACGACGACGATGACAACGACGACGACGACAAGGACGATGTCGAGGACGACGAGGACGAGGACGAGAACGGGGACGAAGACGACGGCTACGACGACGAACGACTGCGACGACGATGACGACGACAACGGCGACGCCGACGCCCACGCCGACGACGACGGCGACAACGACAACGACGAGGACGAGTGCAAGGACGAGGGGGACGACGACGTCGACAACGACAACGACGACGACGACCGAAGACGACGACGACGACGACAACGAAGACGAGAGCATGAATATCGACGACGACGTTGAGGACGAAGACGACGATAACGACGAAGAGGACGGGGGCGGAGACGACGACGACGACAATGACGACGACGACGAGGCCGAGAACGACAACAAGGACGTCGATGACGACGACGACGACGACAAACGACGACGTCAACGACAACGAAGACGTCGGCGACGACGACGACGACGCCGCCGCCGACGGCCGCCTCCAGAGGCCTCCAGAGGTTTCCTGAGGCATGTGGAGGCGTCGTCTGGAGGCTATTCGAGGGCCTCGGGAACGACGACGACGACGATGAGGACGAGGACGAGGACGACGACGAGGACGACGGCAAGGACGACGAAGATAACGACGACGACGACAACGACGAGAACGACGAAGACGAGGAAGACAAAGACGACGAGGACGAGGACGAGGAAGACGAAGACGAGGACAAAGACGATGACGACGACGGCCGCCTCCAAGATCTACAGAGGTCTCCGCAAGCCTCGGGAGACCTCTGGCGGCCTCCGGAAGCGGCTGCGGGCCCGTCGAGGCCCTCGGACACGACGGTGACGATACCGACGACAAAGACGACGACAACGAGGACGACGATGACGACGGCGACGACGACGACGATGATGAGGACGACGACGACGACGACGGCGGCGACGACGAGGACGGAGACGTCGACGATGACGACAACGATAACGACGACGATGAGGGCGATTAAGACGACGACGACGACGAAGACGGGGAGGACGACGAAGACGACGACGACGAGGACGACGACGGCCGCCTGTGGAGCCGTCTTCAAGCTTTCGGTGCATGTCATCACCACACTGCCCGTGGGCATGGCATGCAGCTGTGAGGAAGGCAGGACCCCCTCTCCGTGCGTTCGCCTCCGTGTAGGGGGAGGGAGAGGGGGCCAACCCCCTGTGACGGACGTACGAGTTCAACTAATAGAAAAAATCTCGTCCCCAAGTCCACCGGAAAAGTGCCCAAGAGGCCTCCAAGAGGACCTCAAGACAACCTCAGCTCCCAAACGGCCCAAGAGGCGCCCAAGACGGCCCAAGAGGCGCCCAAGACGGCGCAAGAGGGCCCCAAGACGGTTCCCAAAGGGGCTCCTGAGAAGGAACACGTACCGAAAATCCGAGCCTTCCGCCCGAAGGGGCCCCCAGAGGCCCCAAGTGGCGCCCAAGAGGCCCCAAGAGGCCCCCAAGAGGCCCCGAGGCTCCCAAGAGGTCCCAAGACGGTCCCCGAGAGGACTCAAAACTGCCTCCAAGGAGGCCGCCGAGAGGCCTCCCACGATATTCCAACGAACATCCACCATGCTTATGACCCGCAACCCAGGCACGGTAGCAAGACTGGCCGTAGGCAGCCTGATAGCACGATGGCGACGCTGACGGTTTCCCTCGTGCAAGGTAAGCGATTTTCATGCGGGGCCCTGCCGTTGGAAGGTGTGCTGCCTCCGGAGACACTCATCCTCCTCCTTCTCCTCCTCCTCCTCCTCCTCCTTCTCCCTCCTTCCTCCTCCCTCCTCCCTCCTCCCTCCCCCCCCCTCCCTCCTCCCTCCCCTCCTCCCCTCCCTCCTCCTCCTCCCTCCTCCCTCCCTCCCCTCCTCCTCCTCCTCCTCCTCCCTCCTCCTCCTCTCCTCCTCCTCCTCCCTCATGCTAATCCTCATCCTCCCTCCTCCTCCTCCTCCTTCTCCTCCTCCTCCTCCTCCTTCTCCTCCTCCTCCTCCTCCTCCTACCCCCAGGAGGCGACAGAGAAGAAGGGATCGAGGTTTGAGAATCGAGTTGGTTTCATTATTGTGGCTCTTTTCTGTCCTACCTTCTGGAGGCCTCCAGAGACCACCCTCCTTATCATCGTCCTCTTCCCATCCTCCGCCTCCTCCTGCTCCTCCTCATCCCTCTCCTCCTCCTCCTCCTCCTCCTCCTCCTCCGAATCATATCCATCCCGTCCACCTCCTCCGCTTTCTAATCTGCTCACAGTTGCGGGGACAACCGGGAATCCAAATCGTCACAGACCCCTCAATGCGGAGGCCAACGGAATGGTGCAAAAAGCTAGGATCCGCCCGCTCACACGTCATGAGGGGCGTGTGGGACCTCTCAGGCCCCACGTCGGCCACTTGCTGCCATCCATTTGTGTTCATTGCGTCGTTTGGCCCATCTTCGCCGACGAGCCTTGGACTAGTGTCTGATTATACTCTCGCCCCGCTTGGGGTCTCCCGAGACCTCCTACAGCAACTTTTCGAGCTCGGACGCTCATGGCTCCAACTTGGGCCTTGGGCCCCAGACCGGCCGGGCACACGCCGGGACAGACCCGGCGCTGGAATGCGATGTGAACGGACTGGGCTGGGGGCTCAGTTTTGGGACGCTCGTGCTTGGGCCGAGTGACAGTTACCATGAGCCCCCTCTCGGGGCTATTTCGAGGCCCGCTTGGCGGACCTCTTGGGCCATCCCTGGGCCACTTTGAAGAAGGCCGCTTGGGGCTTCCCGCGGGGCCGTCTTGGGCTTCGTTCGAAATCCGCTCAGCCCGTCCTGCGGCCATGTTCGGCCCGTCTGGCGACAACCAGGAAGGCCAGGCGGTTGCGAGAAACTTGGTGAATAATCAGCGACGCCCTTTCCCCATAACTTCGACGGCCTTTTCCCCAACCGACAGGCTGGGGCTGCTAGATTCAGAGACAGGCACCCCGACCCGCCCAGCACACCGTGCATGCCGCGGCCGCCAGGCCCCCAAGTGCGCCACTGCGCCCTGGGTGGCCCACCTCGCGTTCTCGGGCAATTCGTCCTTCTTCGGTTCCGAAGCCGGGCCCCCACAACTCGGAGTGGAGAGAACACCGGTTCTGGATGAGAAGTGCCCCAACATCGTCACTGTAGGGGCCCGGCCACAAGAAACCTTCCACAAGAAACCCAACCCTGAGACCCGAGGACGTCCATTGATTTCTAATGTGGGCACGACACGATTTCAAATGCAAAGCCACCCAAACCCAAGAAACCCAGGGCACCCTGGAGGCAAGCAGGATGTTCCTTGGCATGGGTTTGCACTGTACGTCCATTCCGACCTGAGTGGGCCCCTGGGCGCTCCGCAGACCCCAGAGATGCCCACAAGACAGCCCAGGATACAGAAGTGGCCCTGCAAGGGGAAGGCCGCGGGCCCAGGACGACTTCCCCTCACGACCCGCTTCCTTCCTGGCGAAGCGGCCCCGACCCCTTCCCTCGGGCCGGTTCTCCGTGCCGCGAGGGCGGCGACGCGGACGACGCGCCCGACCAGGGCCAAGCTGGGGAGGCGAGGGCGCAGGCAGAGGTGGAGAACCGACGACCCCGACGACGGTGCTGACGTCATCGTCGCCAGCCGTCTTCGTCGCCGTTGCCCCGCCGCCACACGAGCCAGATAAAAGCATCGGCCCCCGATCGCAGAAGAGATCCCGCCCAAACACGATGACAACACGCTCGAGGATCGGCGACAACGATGGCGACGCCGACTGGAGCACGTCTTGTGGGGGAGGCAACTGATCACTTCGCCGATCCTTGAAGGGGCCCAGAGACACACACACACACACACATGAATACACACACACACACACATCCGAGGATTCCCTACACTTCCTGATATGTTCTGGGCCTTCGTCTTCCCCCCCACTCCTCATGCTGTGCGAGATGTTCCAGGGGATCGACGATGAATTGTGTCTGTGCATTTCCCCCTCCTGATAACTGATCACCTCACCGATCCTGGCTTCCCTGGCCTAACGAGGAGGGCATGTATTGTACATATAGATTTATATATGTGTGTATATACTTATATACACATACGTATACACATCGTCACATGCATACATGCATGCCTGCATACATACATACATACATGCATACATGCATGCGCACATGCATACATAAATGCATGCATGCATGCACTTATACATACATACATGCATGCATGCATACCTACATACATATATGCATACATACACGCATACACACATACACCTATAAACATGTGTACATGCGTACACCCATACATGCATACATCCATACGTATATGCATATATACAAAAATACATACACACATACATACATACATACATACATTTATACATGCGTACATGCATACACACATATATATATACATATATATGTGTACACTTACATACATACACACACTTACATGCATACATACACGCATGCATACATACACATATGCATACTTACATGCATACATACATACACATACATGCACGCATACACACTTACATACACACCTACACATACATACATGCATGCATACATGTATGCATGCATGTATGTATACACATACATGCATGCATGCATGCATACATACATACATACATACACACATACATACATACATACATACATACATGCATACATCCATACATACATACATACATACATACATACACACCTACATACATACATGCATACATACATACACCCATGCATACATACACACATACATACATACATACATACATACACACACATACATAACTAAACACTCATACATACATACAAGCATGTTTGCATACATAAATACATGCATACCAATCTACATGCATAAACGCATACATGCAGACATGCATACATGCATGCATGCATACATGCATACATGCATCCATACATACATACATGCATACATATACACATACATACATACATACATGCATACATACATACATACATACACATATACATATACATACACATATACACATACACATTCATATTCATATACATATACATGTACATGTACATATACATATACATATACATATACATATACATATACATATACATATACATATACATATACATATACATACATACATACATATATACATACATATATACATCCGTGTACACATACATACATACATGCACATATACATGCATACCTGCATACGTACATACATACATGCATTCCTACATGCATGCATTCACACATCTATATATATATACACATCTATAAGTACATACACATGTATACACAGATCGTGGGCTGGACGGTTCCCGAACGGGGCCAGAGCGGAGGAGTGCCGAGAATCGCCCCGCATCGCCAACGTATTATCGGCGATACGGCATTCTACACTGAGTCATACCAGACCACCGCAGCCTAACCCGAAGATCCCGATTTCGGGTTGGGGGGGTGCGGGTTCCATATGTGTTTTTCCATTGTTCCCCGACCACCCCCTCTGGAAATGAAGGGCAAATTGAGGCCTTCAGGTTGGGTTGAGGTGGCTTGGTGGGTGGTGATACGCAGCCTTGGGCTCTCCGAGTGATGATCTTCAGAACGGTGTTCCACGTAATAATTTCACGTGGCGGCCTTGGGCTCTCCGGGAGATACCGTTCGGCGATACTCAAGACGATAATTGGACGGCCGCTCCCATCGGCGTACTCTTAGATGCTCGATCTGACAGTCTTCGTGGAGCCTCTCGCTCCAATCCCGCGTGGATGCTGAGTCGAACGTCCGTCGACTCGAGCCGAACTTGAGGCGAGGCCGAGTCGACCTTGAGCCGAGGTTGAGTCCAACTAAAGACAGACTAGAGCGGAACACATCCGGTAAACAGGTGGGCCCCAGGGAAGACCCCCCACACAAGCATCACGCACCCCGCGATGCCGCGACGGGGGGAGCGAGAGGGGGCAGGCCCTCTCAGAAGGCGTGAGGCGCGGCGGCGAGCCCAGGCGGGGCATGCGCGAGGGGGCAGGCCTGCTCAGAGAAGGCCTCGGGGCCTCTCCGAAGCCCTCGCGCCCCCTGAGAACCCCTTGCCAGCCCTCTCCGGGGAGTTGGGCGTGGCTTAAGGGGGGGGTCACAAATGGGGGGCTCAGAAAAGGTCCCCTTTCGTGCCCTTTTCGGGCCCCTCCGGAGCCCCAGGGGACTCGTTTCGGTACCGCTTGGGTACCTTTTCGGACCACGCTCGCCACCCCCCCATTTATGACCCCCCCATTACGCGGCGCCCAAGGGAGGTCCCCTCCCCGCGCCCCCGGGGAGGTCCCACCTGGGAGGCCCCGCCGGGCCGCGGCCCGGCGGATGCGGTGCGCTGCTTCCGCGGGTGCCTCGCGCGTGGCGTGCCCGTGCGGCCGCGCAGGCACGGGGCCGCGCCCCCCAGAGTCCCGGCCGAGAGGGCGCGGATCTTGAACGGGGCCCCAGGACGCACAAATAAATGCACACAAATAGAAGGATTCCCCATATTTCCCCATATTTTCTGGCTTTCTGCCTTCCCCCCCACTTCCCATATTTTCCCACATTTTCTGGGGAGTCGACGACTAATTGTGTCTGTGTGTTTTTTCCCCTCCTGAGATCTGGACGTGCTCGCTGCCCGTGCCGAGCTGCTCGTGAGGTCACTCGGGCCTCGGTCCCCAGGCCCCCGGGCCTCGACCCGCTGCGGGCCTCCGCTCCCCGAGCCTCGATGCTCCTCGAGCCCCGACGCCTCCCTCCCCCTCTGGGAGCCGCGGGCCTCGAGCCCTCGATCCTCGATCCCCCCCCCCCCCCCGGCCCGGCCCTCCTCCGCCCTCCTCGCTCCTCCTCGCTCCTCCTCGGCCCTCCTCGCTCCTCCTCGCTCCTCCTCGGATCCTCCGCGCTCCTCCCCGATCCCTCTCGACCCTGGATGTGCTCGCCGCCCGTGCGGCTGGGCAGGACCGATCGCTGCGGCGGCCGGCCGCGGCCGGCCGCGGCCGCCCGGGGGCGCCCGCCAGCTGGCCCGCCGCCAGCAGCGGCTCCGCGGCGGCGCCCGAGGGGCACGGCGGCAGCGCCGGGCCCTGGCACGGCGCGCTGCGGCCGCCCGCAGCACGCGCGCCGATTCCAGCAGGGAACGGCAGGAAACCGGAGCCAGAGTCCGAGGTGGTCCAAGGAGGAGGAGGAGGAGGGGGAGGAGGTCAAAGGGGGGGAGGAGGAGAGGAGGAGGAGGAGGGAGGAGGAGGAGGTCAAAGGAAGGAGGAGGAGGAGGAGGAGGAGGAGGAGGAGGGGGAAGTCCAATGGGGGCGGGCGGCGGGCGACTCGCCGCACGCGCCGCGCCCCCGCGGGGGTGCGCGCCGTGCGCGGCACCCTCCGCGCCCTGGCGGGGCCGCCTGGACGAGCGGGGCCGCCTGCTGCGGCCCCGGGCGGAGGCGCGCGAGGCCCGCGGTCGTGTTGGCGCCCCTGCAGGCTGGGGCGATCAGGGGGCCACATGCGAACCCTACCCCTACCCCCCACGATTTCTGAGGGGGAGGGTGGGGTTCACTTCGTTCGGGACCTCCCGAGCGAAGTGAACCCCACCCTCCCCCTCAGAAATCGTGGGGGGTAGGGGTAGGGTTCGCATGTGGCCCCCCAGCGATGACCCGAGGAACGAGAAATGAGGAACGAGGCCCTTTTTGCTCCACAAGGTGAACTCATGCGGTTCCAATCGAACTCGAGGACCACATCCCAGATATAATTTCGGGCGTCTGGAAAAAAATGCCGAAACGGCGCCGAAACAGTGTCGAGCGAGTGTCTCCCAGGGCCCGACACATGAAAACCCTCAAATGTCGGTGCCTTCCTGGTGCTCGAGAGTCTTTCTAGTGGTCAAGGCTAAAGTAGGTTGGAACATCATAAAGCTAAACTCTGATTCTCCATCGACGCCTGAGGGAAGCCTGAGGCACACTGCGAGGAGCACTAGCGGGACACAGGGCCCCAACCCGACGAGGAGGGTTCCTTCTTCAGCGCCCCGACCGTAGAGGGGTGGCCTGGCCAGCGGCCCAGGGATTCCCCCAGAAACACTGGTCCTGGCCAGCTCTTGGGGCCCGGGCCTGGCTGTGGCGACGAGGACCTCCGGAGACGCCCAGCTTGGCCCAACGACCTCCAACGAAACGACGACGGCGTGATCCTTAAACTTCATCATCGTCGTCGTCGTCGACGCCGCCGCCGCCGTCGTCGTCGTCGGCGGCGTCGTCAGGTCCCTGGCTCCGCAGACGCGGGGGCCGCAGCCGCCGCCGTTGTGGTCGTCGCCTGTCGCCGGCGTCGGCCGAGAATAGAAAGTAGAGATCGTGGATCGGGGTTCATAGCTATTCCTGGCCCTCTCTTGGGCCTGCGAGACCTTCCTCGTGGTCCCGGCTGATTTTGCCTCCAGATTCTGACCAGAGCGCGCACCAGGACAGCTCCCATGTCGACCAGGGTCGCCGTCGTCGCGGTCGTCTTCGCGGTCGTCGTCGTCGCGGCCGTCGTCGTCATTCTGGACAGGACTGGAAACTACCGCAGCACGCGCGAGGCGTGCAGGGTGCTGTCGTCATTCTCCCCACCCTCCCCCTCGTCCAACCCATCCCCTCTCGCTCTCTCTCCTTCCGCCCTCTCCCTCCTCTCCTCCCTCCTCTCCCATCCTCCCTGGGGAAGGGGCCAGGGAAGACGAAGGGCAAGAGAAGACATCTGCGAGGGTGGGCGGTGGGGAGGGGCACGCGCGCCCACTCCGCTTCCCTCGGGGATCTGCTGATCAGGGTCCATCCAAACCCGGGTCAGTCAGGCCCTGACGAATCCCTGCAAGATCCTGCACCCAAACCCGGGTCAGCGCATCCTGCAAGATCCTGCATGATCCTGCACCCAAGCCCGGGTCAGTGCGACCCTGGCCCTGCAGGATCCTGCAAGGTCCGGCGCCAACTGCACTTCCCGCTCTTCGGCGAACGCCGGCTCGACCCCCTCCTGCGCCCGTCCTCGCCGCAACACCATCAGAGCCGCAACACCATCCCCGCTTCGGCGGCGGCGCCCGGCGCTCGGTCCTCGCCGGCTCCTCCCCAGCAGACTCCCAGCACCCCTACGCTACGAGGCGGGGACGTACGACAGGTTCGTGTCGTGCCGACTCCGGCGCTGGTTCCTGACACCGCGGGAGTCGTTCCACCTCGGACGATCGGCAGTTTCCAAAACGTCTGATCGCTCAACATGTGCAGATTCTGGGTCGCCAGCGGCGTTCAACGTTGAACGCCAGCGGCGTGGTCGCCGCTGGTCGGCACGACGCGAACCTTCCTTACACAGGTCCACTTCCCGGGGACCAATGCCCTGGGAGCCCACCAGGCGGCGGACATGAACATCATTCGGGCCCTAAGGGGGACCGAATCTATACATCTGTCCACCGTCCCCCTGGGGCCCAGGACGGTCGGTTCCCCAGGCGGTGGGCATGGACAAATCCCAACCAGCCTCAGGCCGCACGTCCGCCGTCGTGCTGCAATTCGCCACGTGCATCGGTGCCTGCGACGGCATGATTATGCTGGCAATCTGGACCCCCAGAGGATCACACCAACTCTCCCAAGGACCTGCTCCTCGTCGCTGAGTCTTGAGCATGGACCGACCGTCCCGGCATTCCTATAGGCCCATTACGAGATGTTCTTGGAACCCAAAAATGTTCTAAGGACAAATTCAAGGGTCTTAGAACATAAGCCCGATGCGTTGAAACAGGACAACGCCAGCCAGAAATGCTCTAAAATTATCCCGGCAAAGCAACCTAACAGCGATGTGTAGAAGCATATCTGGAAGCATTCCCCTTAGGATTTAGGTGAGAATCCAGTTGTAGAATTCTGCTGTTCTCGCAGTCGCAGCCTCAGCCTGCCTCGGCTTGCCTCGGCCTCAGCCTCAGCCTGCCTCGGCCTCAGCCTCAGCCTCAGCCTGCCTCAGCCTGCCTCAGCCTCAGCCCCAGCCTTAGCCTGCCTCAGCCTCAGCCTGCATCAGCCTCAGCCTCAGCCTGCCTCAGCCGCAGCTTGCCTCAGCCTCAGCCACAGCCTCAGCCTCAGCCTCAGCCTGCCCCAGCTTCAGCCTCAGCCTCAGCCTGCCTGGGCTTGCCTCGGCCTCAGCCTCAGCCTGCCTCGGCCTCAGCCTCAGCCTCAGCCTGCCTCAGCCTCAGCCTCAGCCTCAGCCTGCCTCAGCCTCAGCCGACATCAGCCTCAGCCTCAGCCTGCCTCAGCCGCAGCTTGCCTCAGCCTCAGCCACAGCCTGAGCCTCAGCCTCAGCCTGCCTCAGTTTCAGCCTCAGCCTCAGCCTGCCTCGGCTTGCCTCAGCCTCAGTCTCAGCCTGCCTCGGCCTCAGCCCCAGCCTTAGCCTGCCTCAGCCTCAGCCTCAGCCTCTCAGCCTCAGCCTCAGCCTCAGCCTGCCTCAGCCTCAGCCTCAGCCTCAGCCGCAACTTGTCTCAGCCTCAGCCTCAGCCTCAGTCTCAGCCTCAACCTGCCTCAGCTTCAGCCTCAGCCTCAGCCTGCCTGGGCTTGCCTCGGCCTCAGCCTCAGCCTACCTCGGCCTCAGCCTCAGCCTCAGCCTGCCTCAGCCTCAGCCTCAGCCTCAGCCTCAGCCTGCCTCAGCCTCAGCCGACATCAGCCTCAGCCTCAGCCTGCTTCAGCCGCAGCTTGCCTCAGCCTCAGCCACAGCCTGAGCCTCAGCCTGCCTCAGCTTCAGCCTCAGCCTCAGCCTGCCCCGGCCTCAGCCTCAGCCTCAGCCTGCCTCAGCCTCAGGATCAGCCTCTCAGCCTCAGCCTGCATCAGCCTCAGCCTCAGCCTCAGCCTGCCTCAGCTCAGTCTCAGCCTGCCTCAGCCTCAGCCTGCCTCAACCTCAGCCTCACAGATGGCTCCGGGCAATCAAAATGTAGCCTCGGAATGGTGTTCTGGGAACACGAAGAACACGAAGTGGCCTACAGCTGGCTCCGGGCATTCAAAATGTGGCCCGGGAATGGAGTTCTGGGAACACGAAGAACACGAAGAAGCCTACAGTTGGCTCCGATCATTCAAAATGTGGCCCGGGAATGGAGTTCTGGGAAGTCGAAGAACACGAAGTGGCCTACAGTTGGCTCCGGGCATCCAAAATGTGGCCCGGGAATGGAGTTCTGGGAAGTCGAAGAGCACGAAGTGGCCTACAGTTGGCTCCGGGCATTCAAAGTGTGGCCCGGGAATGGAGTTCTAGGAGGTCGAAGAGCACGAAGTGTGTGACTGTTTGCGAAAAACGAGTTCGGACACGAGTTCGGACACAGCTCCCCGGATGCCGCCCCGACCCCCCTGTGGAGTCATCTGCTGCTCTCTTTTGACCCCACTAGAAACCTATCAGCAAAAGCTGTTAGGTAAAAACATTTCGTCGGAACCCCAAACAGGTGTTTTTGAATCTGCTCCGGAAATTCTTTGGTAGGCCTATGGGCGCGCCAGGACGCCTCGCCACTGCTTGACCAGAGGACCACACCAACCAAGGGGACGTAAGACCTGGGTACAGAGGACTCGAAAATGCCCGACGAGGTCGTCAAAAAAATGACGAGGCCGAGCCTGCATTTTGACGAGGCCTCCCGCCGCAGACATCCCACGAAACTCCTCCTCGTCAAAATCCGAGGCGTTGTCGTCAAAAAACGATGGCGAACCCGAGTCCTGGTAAACCCAGGTCTTACGCTCCCCCGAACCAACCATCCCAAGGACCGGCCCCTCTCCGCTGAGTCTTCTCCGGCTGCCCCCAGCGGCCAGCAGAGGCCGGCAGAGGCCGCAGATATCACCACGAGCCTCCCGCTGCCACGTCTCCCTGCGCGAGGCGGTCCGGGCGCCCCCCTTGCCTCACGTTGTTCCCATGTTACTTAAGGACCACATCCCAGAAATAATCCTGAGCACCCGCACAAGTGTCGAAAGAATGTCGAAACAGTGTCGGGCGAGTGTCTCCCAGGGCCCGGCACGTGAAAACCCTCGAGTTTGGGGATGAGTATCTGGTGCTCCAAATTCTTTCTGGTGATCCAGGCTAAAGTAGGTTGGAACATCATAACCCTCGCCCTTGGGGTGCCTTGCGGCAGCTCTTGGCGCAGTTGTCCCGCATGTACTCCAGGTTCGCCTCGCACTGGCCTGGCAGCGGCCAACAGAAGGCTGGTGGCCGGAGGATGCCGCCCATCCTCCTCATCGAGAATCTCCTTCCCCCTTCTGACATTCCTCATCCTCTCCCTCCGTTTTGCGTTGGATAAGCGTTGGCTTGCTAGAGCCGTCGCGTCTTGGTGGCAGCGATGCGAAAAATCGCCCCCGTGCTGACCCACCGTGCTGATCCGCAGACCCTGCCGGCGTGTGAGAGGCTTTTCCATGTTGAGTCTTCGTCGTCGTCGCTTCTCGACAACGTCGTCGTGTTCAACGTCGTCGTCGTCATCGCCATCGCTGTCGCCATCGTCACCGTCGTCGTCGTCGTCGTCGTCGTCGTCGTCGTCGTCGTTATCGCCGTCGTCGCCGCCATCGTGTCGTCGTCGTGGTCGTGGTTGTGGTCGTCGTCGTCCCCCTTCAAAATCGCGGGCACCAACTGTAAAGCCTTCGCAATGTTACTGTTCGTCCTCTGTGCCTCCTCCTCATCCTCCTCCCCACCCTCACCCTCACATCTGATTATCGACATTCTCATCCCCATGGTTTCTTCTTTTTCTCAACATCCTTCTCCCTACCTCCCTGCTACCTCCTCCCCACGCTTTCCCATCCGTGTCCGGTCCCCCATCCCCGCCTCGGACTAAACGGGACAATGTAGAAAGACAAAGGAGGAGGACGATGACTATAGTGATCATGTCGAGGGGGAAGGGGAGCGGATGGAAGGAGGAGCACGGCGAAAAGCAGAGGACGCGAAGACGGAGGAGGATGAGAAGGGGGAGGATGGAGAGAAACAAGATTGAAGAGAGGGAAGAAAAAAGACGAGGGTACAGACAGAGGCAGGAGGATGGCTGAGGACGATGATTGCGGGGATGATGGTACGGATAAGGCGGAGGAGAAGGACGACGACGCCGACAACGACATCGATGCCACCGACGGACCCGACGATGCGCGCCGGTGATGCCGACGCCGACGACGCCGTTAACGCCGCCGCCGACGGCACCGAAACTGCGGGCCGCGACGCCAACTGCAATCCCGCGCCGCCACCGCCGCCGAAACCGCCGTCACGCAACGACGGCGGCGTTCCCGCGGTTATTTCTGCAAGGGTAGGGCGAAAACAGCGGCGGCAAAGTAATGCAAAAATCGGAAATAAAGGAGCCTGAAAAAAAGGGTGGGGGTACTCGCGCTATTCGCGAGATCATCCAGACCACGGCGGATTCTGACATTTGGGACCTCCCAAACAGCAATCCGAAGCAGCCTCGAGCTGATCCGTCACCCTGAAGTTGGCAACCACGAGACGACGGCAATATTAGGGAGGCGCGCCGCTGGATAACCCCCCCGCCCCCTTTCCCCGATCCGTCGTCGGGGACACCCCCGCCCCCTTTCCCGGTCCGTCATCGGGTAGCCGCCCCCCCTCGTTCCCAGTCCGTCGTCGGGGCAACCCCCCCCCCCTTTTCAAAACGAGGGGGGGGGGGTCCGAACCACCCCACCCTAGTTTTGGGCTCGAAATTCGAGCCCCCCCCCTCCTCCCCCCGCCGCCCCCTGACACCAGAACCTGCCCCCCCCCCACTACCACCCCTAACCCTAATTCTCACCCTAAAGCCCGGGCCCTAAAACCAACCCGTAACCCGAGGCCCAAACAGTACTCACTACTCACTACTCACTACTCACTACTCGCTGCCTCCTAATCACTACTCCCTACTCACTACTCTAGAACCACTGCTCACTGCCACCCAATATTCACGACTTACGACTCACTACTCAGTAAACACTATCCACTACTCACTTCTCAGTACTCCCTACCTACAAATCACTACTCAGTACTCACTACCCATTGCCCTCTACTCTCTACTCGTTACTCCCTACACAGTACTCACTACTCACTACTCACAAACCTCTACTCGGTATTCGCTACCCAATACTTACTACTCACTACCCACTACCCACTACTCATTAGTCGAAGCTCAGTACTCCCTACTCGCTGCCCCCTCCTCGCTATGTAATACTCCCGACTCACAACCCACTAGTCGCTACTCACCACCCACACTACGCACAACTCAAAACTCCCCTCAGTACTCATTACTAACCACTCACGACCCACTACTCGCTACCCACTTCCAACATTCATTGCACAACACTCACTTCTCCCTACTCACTACTCACCACGAATTACTCACTACTCACTACTCGCTACTCTCTCCTCGCTACTCACTACTGCCTACACCTACTCACTGTTCACGAATTACGAGCAACCCGCTTCTCACAACTCTACACCCGCTAGCCCCGACTCGCTACTCACTGCCCACTACCCATTACTGAAGAAAAAAACGACTCACTACTCTATACTCACTGCTCACTACGACACACTGCTCACTACTCTGTAAAAACCGTATAATGACCACTACTCACTACCCCCTACTCACTACTCGTTACTCACTACTCACTACCCACTACTCTCTACTCTCCACTCGCTACTCCCTACAAAGTTCTCGCTGCTCACTACTCTCTACTCGGTATTCGCTACTCAATACTCACTAATCACTGCCCACTACTCACTACTCATTGGCCACTATGCACTACTCACTCAGTACTAGCTACCCCCATCCTCGCTGTTTTATTCTCCCTACTCACTAGTCGCTACTCACTACCTTCACGACTCACAACTCAAAGCTCCCCGCACTAATCAATACGCACTACTCACTACCCACTACTCGCTACCCACTTCCCACATCTCATTACACACCACTCACTACTCCCGACCCGCTATCAGCTACTCACTACTCACTACTCACTACTCGCTACTCCCTCCTCGCTACTCGCTACTGCCTACACCCTACTCACTGTTCACGAATTACCCACTACTCGCTTCTCACTACTCTATACTCGCTTGCTCCGGCTCGCTACTCACTTCACACTACCCACTACCCACTACTCAATACTCAGTACTCACTACTGACTCCTCACCACTCACTACCCTGTACTCACAGTTCACTTTTCAGTACTCCCTACTCACTACTCGCCACTCTCTACACACTACTCTCTACTCACTACTCTCTACTCACTACTCACTACGCACTGCCTACTACCCACTACCCACTACTCGCTACTCACTACTCGCCACCGTCTACTCACTACTCACTACTCCCTACTCCTACTCCCTACTCCGTACTCAATACTCTCTACTCATTTCTCAGTGCTCACGAGTCATTGTCCACTACTCGCCAATCACTACTCACTACTCACTACTCACTACTATCCACTACTCGCTCCTACTCACTTCTCAACACTACTCACTACTCACTGTTCTACTCACTACTCACCAATCACGTTTCACCAATAACTACTCGCTACCCTCTGCTCACTGCGCACTACTCACTATTCCCTACTCCATACTCCCTACCCACCTTCTCCGGCGCAGAAAAGAGCAGCGGGAGAGGCCCCGACCCAAGCTCTGTCCGGCGCCAAGGAGGGAAAGGGGGGGCTCGAACCCCGCCCCCAACCCCCTTTCCAGCGCCAGGGGGGGGGGGGGGATAGGGGCTCGGACCCCCCCCCCTTCCTTATCAAGAGAGGGGAAGGGGTCGGACCCGCCCCGCCTTTGAAGGGGAAGGGGCGGGGGGGCCCGACCCCCCCTTTTCAATTGCAGGGTGATCCAACGAAACCCTGTTCAATATTAAGAGTGAGCCCTCAGAAACTGAGAGACCCCTTAAGCGCGAGATGGTGCGATGCCGATCGCGGAGGTGGAGATGCGAGTCTGACTGGCAGACGACAAAGTCATGCGATAGGAGATGTTGCTAACGTGCTAACGACAGCGACGCTGCAATACGTGCTGGGACACATTGCTCGCCTGTCTTCGGGCGTCCCACTGCGCCCCAGATGTTCGGCAGGTCCCGGCGCCATCGGGACATGCAAATTTCCGGGGGCCTCAATCTGGCAACGCAACTTTTCACTTGATGCGCCTACGTCGCTTCTCCATGCGCCTTGCCCCCCCTAGCGTCGCCCGCGACAAGGACGGCCTATTCCCCGGAGCTCCAGAAACAACGACGCCGACAACGCAATGTTGTATTCGCTATGTTCCGCTTGTGTTCATGCCCGCGCGCCGCCTGGTGCAATGCGCCTTCAAAAGCCATTATTTGGTTTTTGTGTCATACTGGACTAACCGCCAAAAGGCCTCCGAACGGGCCCCGCGACAGCCCGGGAACGCCCCAGGACGGCGAGGCCCCAGGGGCCCCGAGACGGCCCCGAAAGGGGCCCGAAAGAAGGGGCGCGAACCGAAAATCCGAACCTTCCGCCCCGAAAGGCCACCAGGACGCCCCAAGAGGCGTCCGCGAGGCTCCGAGGAGCCCCGGAGAGGCCCCCGGGAGGCCCCTAGGGGCGCCTGAAAGGCCCAACGGGAAAGGCAAAAAGCCTTCAAACGGTCCACAAGAGGCCTCAGAACTGCCACTGCCCCCGAGAGACCCCAGACTAAATCCCAACGAGTGCCCCAAAAGGTTCCACGCCCGCAGCCCAGGTGCGGTGGCGGGATGGGCCGAAGCCGCCCACTATTAGCAACAAGAGCCCAAAACGCGTGACCAAATCGCAATTCATGTCTGGGCGGCCCAGGGTCGCCGAAAGTCTCCAATTTTCGAAGATACTAGACAGGCAGCGGAAAAGGCGTTGGGCGACTGGGCGGGCGACGGGCGGCGACTGGGGCGCCGGCGCCAAGTTCGGCGCCGGCGCCAAGTTCGGCGCGCCTTGGGCGAACCGCCCTCCTCGCCTCCCCGCGCGACGCCGAACCGCGGGATGACGACGGCCCCGTCTGGCGGGGGCTCGGCCGCCGCGTCGCCCGGCACTGTCAGTCGCCCCAGCGCAGCGCCCGACCGCGCGGTCGCGAGAGGCGCGTCGGCACGCTGATCATGGAGCGCACATGGACATACTAATACTATACGTCCTCCTTGGAGGCGCGCGTCCGACCCGAACATATAGTATACCCATCTTGTAGTATATCGTTTCCCGAGCGGTGTGGCTTGGAAGCGCCCGCCACGACGCATATACTATAAGATTTCTCGGTGCGCGCGTCGCCCCTGGGGGGGCGACGCACATGTAGTATAAGTACGTTTGGGTGTTGCCGAGATCAAGTCTCGCGCTTGAGAACTCTGTCGGCTGATGCTGAGGCGGGTCAGCCCCGCGCGGCGCGCTGCGGGGGCCTGCCCTGAGCTCGTCTGCCGACGCGCAGCGATGCTAGCCGCGCGGCTCGCCACTGCCCGAGCGAGGGAGAAGCCCGATCAGGTGGGCGCCCTGCCGCGGCAGCTCTGTTTGCGCAAGCGGGCCAGACGCGCGCTCGCCATCGGAAGAATTCCACCACCTCGGAATCTGGATGATCGAATCCGCACGCTTACATGCGCAACCACGGGCCGTCGACGGACTCGGACGCCCGCGCGACTGCGGGGTCGCCGCAATTGAACCACAGCGCACACTCGCCAGAAGCCCACAGCTGAGCGCCTATCGTCTGAATGCGACTCACGGCCGCGCGACGATGAGCGATGACCTGTCCGACGCGGAGCGCGCGTGAGCGCCTGCCGGGCGCGAAAGGGGGGAGGCTGCGCCTCCTCGGCAGTCGCAAGCGCGGCCCATTCGGCGGCAGCGCGCACGTCGCCCATCACCGACGACTCGCGCGCGAAGCCCTCGCGATCCAAATCTATAGCGAGAGGCAAGGAAGGCACCTTGGCCTCAGCGCCAGCGCTGGCACGGGCCCGCTTGGCCCAGCCGCGGGCATCGCCCCCGCCGGCGCGGGGGCGTCTAGAGAAACTCGTTATCACAGAACTCCGCGCTGCGTGCCGAGGCAGCGAGGCGTCGCGTCGGCCTGGCGGCGCGCGTCGCACGCAGACGCCGCAGCCGCAGCCGCCGCAAAGGCCGGCGCAGAAGCCGCAGCCGCTGGGCCGGCGGCCGCTGCCAGCTGGCAGGGCGTCGCCCAGCGGCGTGGCGGCCGGCTGCGGCGCGACCCAAGCCAAGCGCACGCAGGGCGTGGAGGAGAGCACGGCGGAGAGGGCGCCGGCTTGGGGTCCCGAAGCCGAGGGGGGGCAAGAGCGGTGAACCTCTCGCTGCTGTTGGCGGTGTCCCCCCAGCTCTCTGCGAGTGGGCCTGGGGGGGCGTGTCGTCTCCTTCTCCCTCGCGCGCTCTGGGGCTGACACCACGGCTGGTCACCGCCCATGTAACACTAGGTGGTGGGGGGGGGGGGCCCACCCTCCTGAGAGAGAACGGGATGGGGCGGGGGCGCACTGCCCCGTGTCAACGAAAACCCGGGTCAATCACGTTTTTTGCAGAGCCCTGCAAGCTCCTGCGGGATCCTGACTGGGGTCAGTGCAACCCTGGTCTTGCATGATCCTGCAAAATCCAGCGCTCCGACCGACCCCCGTTCCCTCCCGTATCCAGGTCCCCGAGGGGTCCGTCCCCTCATAATTCCAGGGCCAGGGTCAGGCCTGGGATAGAAGAACATCCCTCAAGAACATGAGACGCTCCGCCAGCCAAAACACACAGAACATCCAAGGCCCCCCCCAGGATCCACAGGAACATCCAACCAACACGACAAAGAACATCAGGGCACCCTCCCCGAACCGACCTCCATCTCATACCTCGGCCCGACTTAGGAGGCGAACAGCTGCATTAACATTAACTAACTTTTGGCGCTCCGCGCTGGACCCCCCTCCCTGGCGCGCGAAGCGCGCCAGAGGCGGCGCTGGAGGCGCCGCCGAGGGGAGGGCCCAGCGCGGATCCAAGAAATCCGCGCGGAGCGCCAAACAATTACGTTGATGGCGTTTTTCTTCAAACCTCACCCCACAGAAACTGCATCCCAGAATCCAGCATCGACGAGGGGAAGAAAAAACACGCCACCCATGGCCAGTGGAGGAGCCGCTGTGCTTGTTTCATCATTTTTTTTTTTTTTCTTTTTCAGCCTCCCCTCCCCTTGCGTCTGGGGGTTCTGGCCTCAGAAATGAGATACAGTATCGGGTGTGCCCTGTGGGATCTCAGGCCAAACCCTTGAATCCTCCGTCTCCTCCTCCCTCTCCTCCTCCTCCTCCTCCTCCTCCTCCTCCTCCTCCTCCTCCTCCTCCTGCTCCTCCTCCTCCTCCTCCTCGTTCTACTCATGCTCGTTCTCCTCCTGCTCGGTCTCCTCCTCCTCGGTCTCCTCCTTTCTCGTTCTCCTCCTGCTCGTTCTCCTCCATCTACTCCTCCTGCTCGTCGTCGTGCTTGACCCGCCCTCGCTCTCCGGGCTCGACGCTGCTCCGCGGTGGCCTTCCGCAGCCCAAGACACGCAGAACTCGTTCCCGTCCTCAGGCGGCGGGCCCGCCGCGCACGGCGCGGAGGCGCCGGCGTCCTCGGCGGGGGCGCCCAAAGCTCTCGGCGGGGGCAGCGCAAGGCGCCCTCGCCGCGCGGCTCGGGCTCCGAGCGGGTGCGGGTCGCACGGGGAGCGGGGTCCTCCTCCTCCTTCTCCTCCCCCTCCTCCTCCTCCTCCTCCTCCTCCTCCTCCTCCTCCTTTTCTTACACCTCCTTCTCCCCCTCCTGCTCCTCCTCCTGCTCCTCCTCCTGCTCCTCCTCCCCTCCTCCTCCCCTCCCCCCCTCCCCCACCCCCTTCTCTTCCAGCTACTCCTCCTCCTCCCTCCTCCTCCTCCGCCTCCGCCTCCTCCTTCTCCTCCTCCTCCATTTTCCTCCTCCTCCTCCTCCTCCAACCCTCATCCTCCTCCTCCTGCTCCTCCTCCCATCCTCCTCGTCCTCCTCCTCCTCCTCCCCGTCTCCTCCTCCTCCTCCTCCCTCCTCCTCCTCCTCCTCCTCCTCCTCCTCCACCACCTCCTCCCCTCCTCCTCCTCCTCCTCCTCCTCCTCCTCCTCCTCCTCCTCCTCCTCCTCCTCCCCCCCTCCTCCACCTCCTCCTCCTCCTCCTCCTCTCTCCTCCTCCTCCTGCACATCCCCGTCATCCTCCTCATCCTTCTCCTCCTCCACCTTCTCTTCCTCCTCCCCTCCTCCTCCTCCTCTCCTCCTCCTCCTCTCCTCCTCCTCCTGCTCCTGCTCCTGCTCCTGTTCCTGCTCCTGCTCCTGCTCCTGCTCCTGCTCCTGCTCCTGCTGCTGCTGCTGCTGCTCCTGCTCCTGTTCCTGCTGCTGCTGCTCCTACTACTGTTCCTGCTCCTGCTCCTGCTCCTGCTCCTGTTCCTGCTCGTCCTCCTCCTCCTCCTCCTCCTCATCCTCCTCCTGCTCCTCCTCCTCCTCCTCCTACTCCTCCTCCTCCTCCTCCTCCTCCTCCTCCTCCTCCTCCTCCTCCTCCTCCTCCTCCTCCCCTCGCCCGCAACGGCAGCCTCCCGCCTCCGCTTCGCTTCTCGGCGGCGCGCGCAGAGGAGGGGGAGGAGGGCTGGGGGGGGGGCGAAGGGAAAAACCAAGGTGAGCGGGTGCTCGTCGCACGGAGAATAGGGGCGCCTCGCCCGCAACGGCAGCCTCTGGCCTCCGCCTGGGGCGGCGGGGGGGGGGGGCGAAGGCGGAGCACAGACGGGAAGGAGGCAGGCACCCTGCGAAAGGGGGCACGGAATGAGGGGAAGTGTGAGGCGAGGAGGACGAGGGGGAGAGGGGCGAGGAAGCCTGGCGGGGCACGTGAGGGGGCAATCAAGGGGAGGAGTGAAGGCTTCTTAGAAACACCCCTGCTTCTTAGAGGGCGCGGGCCTTGCTTGTAGACGTGGGGCCGGCGCCCTCTAAGAAGCAGCCTCCTTCCAAGAACCCCCCCCCCATTCCCATCGCGCGCGCCGCCAAGCTTCCTCTCCCGTGTCCTCTCCCCTCCTCTGGCTCCCCTGCTTCCCTCTTCCTCCTGGCCTCAGTCTTCCCTTCCGTTCTTGCCCCCTTCCGCAATGCCTGCCTCATTCAAGTCTGTGCTCCACCTTCGCCTCTCCACCGCCCCCCCGTCCTCCTCTTCCCCTCCCGTGCGACGACGAGGGCGACGACGAGGACGACGAAGAAGATTACGATGACGACCGCGGCCCTAAGGGTCCCGACCTTCTCCCTGAGGCCTTCTTTGTTGCCGCCGCCGCTGAGCCGAGCATCCGGAAGGACGCGTTGGCTGAAGGGCGATCGATTGGCAACCCGTCGTGAAGATGCAAAGAAACACCCTGCAGAGTGACTGTGCACACGCAGGGACCTGACTGTGAAGCAAAGGGCACAACACAACTGTGTGAGGCAGAACGCACTAGGAAGCGGAGCGGAGCGGAAGGCGGGAGGAAGAAGCAGAGGACTAAGAAGACCGGACCCACTCTTGCTCCCCGGGGCCCAGTGGCCGGCTCCTAGTGCCAAAGTGTAGGAGGCCCGAGGACTGGAAAATCTCCTCCTCCCCCTCAGTCTCCTCCTCCTCCTCAGTCTCCTCCTCCTCCTCCTCAGTCTCCTCCTCCTCCTCCTCCTCCTCCTCCTCCTCCTCCTCCCCCTCCTCCTCCTCCTCCTCCTCCTCCTCCTCCTCCTCCTCCTCCAGTGGCCGTCCGGAACGTTCTTGGCGCCCCCTCGGGGCAGCCTCGGCGGGGCGCTGCTGCTGCCGGGGCGCCCTCCCGGAGCGACACAACCTGATGGAACCAACGAAGCACCTCCTCCTCCTCCTCCTCCTCCTCCTCCTCCTCCTCCTCCTCCTCCTCCTCCTCCTCCTCCTCCTCCTCCTCCTCCTCCTCCTCCCCCTCGGAGGGTGCCACGTGCGCCACGCGCGGCCGCCACAAGCGACGAAACTGGGAAGAAGACAGAGATCGACAGAAGCCAGATCGTCGGGAATCTGGGGGCGACGGCGCCGACGCCGACGCCGACGGCCGAATCCGACGCCCACGTTGACGACGCCGACGCCGACGCCGACGCCGACGATGACGACGACGCCGCCGCCGCCGACGACCAGCGGCGATGACGGCGGCGGCGGCGGCGGCGCACCGCGGGCGCTCCTCTGGCGTGCGCGGCCGCGCGCTCGCGTTGGCAGGGGTGCGGGCGCCGAGGCAGTCGGCTACCTCCGGGAGCGGTGCGGGGACTGCTGGAGGGACAGGTTTTCGGATCGCCCCGAGCGGCAGCGGGAGATCCCAGTTGTGGCCCGGAGGCCACCGGGATCGGCGCCGGCGGTGCTAAGGGGGGCACGGGGGTTAGTGGTATGGGCTGTGTCTGGCCTAACCTAGCTTGTAAGCGGACTGAAATTGCCCAAAGCGGCTGCGGGAGGTTCGTAACTACGGGAGCGGCGGCGCTGGGGCTGCTGAGAGGATGAGGAACCGGCAGCGAGAGTGAAGAGGCCGAACGTTCTTCCACCATCCCTGGGTGCGTGGGTGAACCGGAACTCCGTGGCCAGGGATATTGTTGTTGTGTGTTGCTGTTGTTGTTGCTGCAGTTGTTGTTGTTGTCGTCGTCGTGGTGCTGGTTGTAGTCGTCGTCGTCGTCGTCGTCGTCGTCGTCGTCGTCGTCGTCGTCGTCGTCGTCGTCGTCGGAGTTGTCGTCGTCGTCCTCGTCGTGGTCGTCGTCGTCGTCGTCGTTGTGGATATCGTCGTCAACGTCGTCGCCGTCGACGTCGTCCCACCCCCGCGAACCGCACACGACCCACCCCGTGACCCACCCGCGACCCACCCATGACCCACCCACCCACCCTCGCCCGCCCCCTCATTCTTATCCGCAATTACGGTGTGCTCCATATCTGGCTTGACGGAACGCGATAACTCCGCCAAGTGGGCGGAGCCCACTTCGCCCAGATCGTGAACTCCCTATAAGCCACTTGGGGCACTTGCTGTCGAGCTGTGAGCTGGACTCGGCCGAACATAACCCAGCCTGTCATCCACGGATAACCCCCAAATCCCCTCAACTACCTCCGTGCCGCTCCCAGCTTCGGGCCGCGGCTGTCGTCGTCGTCGTCGTCGTCGGCGGCAGCACCCTCCCGAAATCTCAGACGCTGACTTTTCTCAGCCCGGGCGTTGCCCAGGAGCCCGGCCTCGGGGGCCCGGCTTCGGGCCCCGAGGCTGCAAGCACGTGCCATATGTCCGGTGGCAACGAGCACCGGCCTGGGGTCGCACGGGCAGAGAAAAACAGCCAGCGGATGTCTGGGCTCCCTGGCGCCGACGCCGGAGGGGGGGGAGGACGGCAACGACAGGGGATGGGGAGAGCCGGACGACGTGATAGGGGGAGCGGGGGAGGAGGGCAGGGGGGGGGTGAGGGAGAAAGAAGGGAAGAGGTGAGCGGAGGGTAGAGGAGCTTCAGATGGATGAGGTGGAAGAGGTGCAAGTGGGAGAGAGACGAAGGAAGAGGGGTCGGTGGGCGAAGGATACATGAGACAGACGAAAAAGCACAGCTGCCAGAACGGCTAGTCTTGGTGCACGCGCTGCTTGCAAAGAGTCACAGAGATTCAGACAGGAGGGAGAAAGAGGAGGAGTGCGGAAAAATGTGTTTTGGTCCGGAAACGCTCGGCTCGAAACAGCCGACCTGACTGAACGGGTTCATGGGCCATGGGGCCTTCGCGGGGCAGAATGCCCCTGTGAATTCTCCTCCTCCGCCTCCTCCGCCTCCTCCGCCTCCTCCGCCTCCTCCTCCTCCTCCTCCTCCTCCTCCTCCTCCTGTAAGAAGTCCTTCGCCGCCTCCTCCTCCTCCTCCTCCTCCTCCTCCTCCTCCTCCTCCTCCTCCGCCTCCTCCCCTCTGCTCCTCCTCCTCCTCATCATCTAAGAGAAAAACAAAAAACATCAACACATACGCCCTCGGATGTCCGCAGGGTCTCGCGGGTCGTCGGCGCAGGGCCCCAGGGCCCTGCGTCGCCGTCGCTGGCGGCATCTCCAAGCGCGCACGCAAAGAGCGTCTGGGGCCCAGCGCCGAACCACAGAGATCTGAGCGGGACTTGGATCGGGGGCGCGAGAAATGGAGTAGCGATCCATGGATTTGGCGCGCTGTCGAGCCTCCTTGAGGGGGAGGCCGCGGTGTCGCCGCCGGGGAGGAGGGGAAGGGCCAGCTCGGGGGGGAAGGGAAGCATCCGCCGATGATCGAGGATACACGCCCATAAAAATGTCCGTGCGCTCAAGGGCGCGGCGGGCTATCGGGCTATCATCGGGGGCGCGCGAACATGGAGTAGCGATCCATGGATTTGGCGCGCTGTCGAGCCTCCTTGAGGGGGAGGCCGCGGTGTCGCCGCCGGGGAGGAGGGGAAGGGCCAGCTCGGGGGGGAAGGGAAGCATCCGCCGATGATCGAGGATACATGCCGATAGCAAATCCGCACACTCTTGGGCGGGGCGGGCTATCGCCAAGTCCATGGATCGGGGGAGGTGCCCTCCCCACAAATGCGGCCGGGGCCGCCCCGTTCGGAAGCGGCACTCCGCGATTCCCCGTGGAAACGGGGCCCGTCGCAAATCCACGCCCCCTTGATCCACGTCTGCGATCGCCTGGTTCTACTTCTTCTCACCTCACCATTCCCTCCTTCTCCTCCTCCAGCCCTCCTCCCGCCCCTCTCGTCCCCCTCGCCCTCCCTGTCCTCCAACTCCAGCTCTCCGCCTCATCCAGACCCTCCTCCTCGTCCTTTCCTGCCCCCCACTTCCCTCTTTCCCCACACGACGGGTCGCCGAGCTCACAGGGGAACAGCGTGTCCTCGTGAGTCCTCAGCCTGTACTTCTCCTCCTTCTCCCCCTCCCCCTTGAATTTGCACATGTGCCTGGGCCCCAACACCTCTCGACCCCGTTCCCCAGGGCCAGCACTTCATCCCGAGTCGACGTCCTGACGATCGCCCTTCAGAGGCCAGGCCAAGGCGGCAAAATCGCCCGCCCCCGAATCCTTCGAGGTGCTGGATGTGTGCGTCCTCCTCCTCCACCTCCTCCTCCTTCTCGCCCCTCCTCCTTCTCCTCCTCCTCCTCCTCCTCCTCCTCCTCCGTCTCCTTCTCCTTCTCCCCTCGCCGCCCGAGCTACACGCAAGAACGGCCCCATAGTCAACAGTGACATTCGTTGCGGGGCCTTCGGGGGGGGGGGCTTTCGGGGGGGGGGGGGGGGGGGGGGGGGCAAACCCTGGCGCCCGAGCTGCTGGATCATCCCATCGCGCTTCAGCGAGCGGGGGGCCCAAGTGGGCCCGCACAAAAGCAGCGGAAGAAACATATGCATAAGCACAAACCTTCTGAGCTCAGCGTGGGTGTCTTAGGTTGGCGATGGCCCCCGGGGGGCGCGCGGAGCGCGGGCGCTGCCAGGGGGCCCAGCGCCGATCCAAGACATCGGCGCGGAGCTCAGAGAGTTTGTGTTTATGCCGTGCTTGATGTCCTTGTTTGGCAAGTGCCGCTCTGGCGAAGGGCTACTCTGACGCGTTAAAGAGGCAATTGACCAAGGCTCACGAATCAGGTGCTAGGTTTACAAGCACCTATGCAACACCAGATGTAGTGCACCCTGGCCAATTGAGCGACGAAACGAACCAGATCCCACGCGAGATGACACAACGATCTTACGCGGGCAACTTGCACGGGAACGTCCGCGCAATCGAGCCCGTTGTGTTCGGCGTGCTCCTCAATTGCTGCTGCATGTGCAACCCGCTAACCACGCGGCAGGGGGCGGTGCCGCGCGACGTGGCCTCCGCGCTGCCGAGTCTCCTTGAGGGGGATGCCGCGGTGTCGCCGCCGGGGAGGAGGGGAAGGGCCAGCTCGGGGGGGAAGGGAAGCATCCGCCGATGATCGAGGATACACGCCCATAAAAATGTCCGTGCGCTCAAGGGCGCGGCGGGCTATCGGGCTATCATCGGGGGCGCGCGAACATGGAGTAGCGATCCATGGATTTGGCGCGCGGTCCCCGAATCCATGGATCGGGGGAGGTGCCCTCCCCAAAATGCGGCCGGGGCCGCCTCGCTCGGCGACGAAAATCCGCGATTCCCTATGGAAACGGAACGCATCTTCTCGGACCAGTAACTTCGAGCAGCTGCTGCATAGACCCAAGGGATCGTGGGGCGGGGGGGGCAAAAACGACATCCGCCGCTGTGCCTCTGGGCACGGAGTGGGCGTGCCCTCAGGTCCTTTGCCCAATCCCCTGAACCTCAGTCCTGAGTCATGAGGAGTTCTTTAGGACAACGGACCCCACGCTCTCTAATCTACCTGGCCTTCCCGCGTGCCCTCCAGGGGTTCCCTGCGTCTTGTCGCATGTATTTATCGGGCCCTAAACGGCCCCAAGACGGGCCAAGCGGGCCTCAAGAGGCTTCCGAGACCGTCCGAGGAGGCCCCGAGCTGGCGAACGACCGCTCCAAGACGCTCAAGCTGGCCCCCGGACGGCCCAAGAGGCCTCCAAGACACCCAAAAAGGCCTCGAAGAGGCAAGAGGGCTCCAAGAGACCCAAATCATTAATCCCCCTAAGATTTCTGAAGGATATGTTGCGTTCTCGCCTTTCCGGCTGCCCGACGCTCCCAGACTGCCCCTGAGGCCCCCAGACCGCCCCAAGACGGCCCAAGAGGCTTCTATGAGGGCCCCAAAACGGCCCAAGAGGGCCCAAAGACAGCCCAGGAGGCGCCCAAAACGGTTCAAGAGGGCTCCAAAACGGGTCACAAGGGGCCCAAAAGAGGGAACACGAACCGAACATCCAAGCCTTCCGCCCTAAGAGGCCCCCAGCAGGCCCCAGTAGGCGCCCACGAGGCCTCAAGAGGCCCCCAAGAGGCCCCCAAGGCCCCAAGAAGCCCCCAATGGGCGTCCAAACTGCCTCCAAGAGGCCCCCGAAAAGCACCCCATGAGATTCCAACGAACACCCTATAGGCTTCATACCCACAACCCAGGCACAGTGGCGGGATGGGCGAGGCCATACGATTGAGCATCCGAGACCCCTTTCTTCCGAAGACTCACGAAGCCTACTTGCATCTTCGGGCAACCAGCGAATCAGAGGTGTTTGATGTCCTCACCGATCTGGAATCACCACAACGTCGTAACAAACAAAAACGCCGATTGTGCCCCCGCGGCGATTCCAACCCAGACCGACGGACCGACCGAGCCAAGCGGGCGGACAGCGTGGCGGACCGACAGCACTTCACTATGCTCGTGCCGTTCTCTTCCTCGAAGGCCCCATCCTCCGCGGCGAGCCGCGAGTCGTCCCCAACCGCACGACACGACTCGGCCGAAGGGGGGGATGCCGATCCAGAGCCTCCGCGGACTTCTGAAAATTTGACCACATTCATATTGGCGCCGTTGCCTCCCATTCGAAGGACACCAGTGCGATCATCGTTGCGATCGAGCACTCGTGATCGCTGCGGAGGCGGGCCAGGCAGGGAAGGAGTGACGGATGGTAGCTCGGAGCAGGGCGACTTGAGACGTCGGCATTTCAGAATCGGTCCCTGACCCCCCTCGGGGATCTGCTGACCCGGGTCAATCCAGACCCGGGATAATCGGGCCTTGCAGGATCCGGCAAGACCCTGCAAAATGCTGCACCCAGACCTGGGTCAATGCGAAGGATTCTGCTCACCAGCCTCGAACGTATCCCTATCCCTAAGATTGACACGCCAAACGGTGATGACAATCTTATGGATTCGCCCTCAAAAAATAAGGGAATCCCTAAGATTGGCATCGTGATGAGGAGGTGCCCAGCATAGGGATAGGGATATGCTCCAGGCTGGTAATCTGCAGGATCCTGCACCCAAACCCGGGTCAATGCAACCCTGGCCCTGCAGAATCCTGGAAGCTCGGGCGCTCTGGCTGACCCCCGTTTGCATTAAGACCCCGTCTCGAGGCTCCCGACCACCCCGTGACCCAAACGCGCCGGTGTTCCTAGCTGTGTCCAGCCGTGGCGACGAAGGCCTCCCCAATGGCCAGCGACCGTTATCTCAGCCCGCAGTCCTCCGAGTACCGGACGCCACCGCTTCTGGGAATGACAACACTGTAGGCCGACAGTGATGTCACGACACGACCCGCTCAAAGTAAGCACCAGGAATTCCGGAGCATCCAGCGGCCCGCGTCTCTGCAGGCCGGGTGGAACACAAGGACAGGCTGAAAATCCGGGAAATCTTGGAACCTATCATTACCCTGACTTCTTGCTCCTCCGAATCGGGAGCGGCCAAGAGGGGGGCGGCCAAGGAAGGGGGGGGGGGGGGGGGGCAAATCGTGGCTGCTCGCACGTGTGCGGCCCGGGGGGGGGGGAGCAAGGAGCAGGGACGCATTGAAATAAGACGAGGCGCCATGAGATCTGGGGAAACATCATGGCCCACTGCCATGAGATCCCCCCCCCAATCATCGTCCCCCCCCCTGGCCGCCACCGACCGGCACAAGCTCGCCTGCTCGTGCCACGTTTTCTCTCTCTCTCTCTCTCTCTCTCTCTCTCTCTCTCTCCGACAATTTTTGATAAGGACCCCCTCCCCGCTGCGTCACAGCGGGCTCGTGGCCCCAGAGAGGCCTCGACCCCTTTCCAGAAGCCGCTATCTTCGCCACGGCTCGCCTCGTCCTGCCCCCTCGTCCTTCTCCTCCACCGCCTCCTCCTCCGCCTCCTCCTCCTCCTCGTTCTCCTCCTCCTCCTCCTCCTTCTCCGACTCCTCCGCCTCCTCCTCCTCCTCCTCTTCCTCCTCCCCCTCCTCCTCCTCCTCCTGATCCTCCTCCTCCTCCTCCTCCTCCTTCACTCATTTTCCTTATACAGAAGACTTCTTCCTGTCGCACCCCGAGGCCAGTTTTTAGGGCGGGCTGGGCGTTTCGCCCGAGACGTCCTCACCACTAATGACTCCGAAGCTGAAAAAATGGCAGCAGCTTCACAGATGGATGGCGGGTCGTTAGCAAAATGTGGCTCTCGCCGAAACGCGGCGCACATTCGCTTTCAACAGGTGCAACAGTTTCACGGATTGGGGACGGGTCAATTGCAAAATATGGCTTTCGCTGTAGCGTGGCGCACATTCGTTTTAAACCTTTGCAAGGGCTTCACGGATTGAGGGCGAGGGGGTTTCAAAATGTGGATCTCGCCGTAGCGCGGCGCACATCCGTTTTAAGCAATTGCAAGGAGTTTCACGGGTGGACGGCGGTTAGAGTTTCACAGATTGAGGGCGGTTCATGTGGCTCTCGCCTCAGTGCCGCGCGCATTCGTTTACACAATATTCAAAAGTTTCACGGAATCCGATCATCAACGTACCAGAAATCGTGTTTAGGGAAGATTCAAGATTATGCGGGCGCAGCAGTTACGTCGATTCTCTGTGCTGAAGTCAACATGATTGCGTTCTGGCGCGATTCAGGATCGTCAAGACGCAACAGTCAGGTTGACCCGTGGCGTTGGAATCCCGAGAACAATGTTTGGGCATGCTTCAGGGTCTTCAAACGGATGCCTTCCAACAAGGAAGTTCCCTCAATGGACATGAACCCTTGCAGGGGTCTATGAATAGGGAGCTTGGAGGGAGGGTTTACTCCAGCATCGTTGATGACTCTTGGGTTTACACTGGTCCTCTTTCTCCTCCTCCTGCTCCTCCTCCCCCTCCTCCTCCTGCTCCTCCTCCCCCTCCTCCTCCTGCTCCTCCTCCCCCTCCTCCTCCTCCTCCTCCTCCTCCTCCTCCTCTTCCTCCCCGAGGCCATTCTTTTCGCCACGGCTCCACTCTCTGATGGCCCCAGGGGTCGAAGACGACGACTACGACGACCCCAGACACCGCACGACGTCGCTGTTCCAATGCCTGGCCCCAGAGCTCCCGACACCCTCCCAAGGGCAGACGTCTCGCCCCAGACCCGTTCTCGATGGCCCCGGGCGGATCGATGGCGGGCCCGGGGCCCTCGGCGGATCAGACACGTCCCTTGGGCGCCTAGGGGGCCACATGCGAACCCTACCCCTACCCCCCACGATTTCTGAGGGGGAGGGTGGGGTGCATTTCGTGCAGGAGTTCCCGAGCGAAGTGAACCCCACCCTCCCCCTCAGAAATCGTGGGAGGGGTAGGGGTAGGGTTCGCATGTGGCCCCCTGATCGCCCCAGCCTGCAGGGGCGCCAACAGGACCGCGGGCCTCGCGCGCCTCCGCCCGGGGCCGAAAAGGCTAGGCCAGATGTACCACCCACCCCCCAATTGGCATCCACTGCTGGCCCCCCCATCCCCTCAGAAATCCCCGCGCCGATCCCTGCTGGTCGTCGTCGTCGTCGTCGTCGTCGTCGTCGTCGTCCTCGTCGTCAGCGTCGGCGTCGGCGTCGGCGTCGGCGTCGGCGACTTCGTCGTCGTCGTCGTCGCCGGCGATTTCGTCGACGTCGTCGTCGTCGTCCTCGCCCCCTTGTCACCTTAGCAGCTCGAGTGCCCATCCCAGGAGGGCGTCTGCGCATGCCGACGCCAGCGTACCCTCGGTGAAGACCCCGCTGCCCTCCCGGGCTGCCCAAGACGACCCCGGGACGGCTCCGAGGCGGCCCTGGCAGCCCTCCGGGCCCCCCCCAAAAGCCCCACAGGGGCTCCGAGGCGGCCCAAGGCGGTTTTTGAAGGCCAGGCTTTCGGCGCCAGGCTTTGGGGTCCTGAAACGGTGCGATGACGGACCGTGCGGTGACCTCGAAATCCCCCAAGACCTCACCGCACGGTCCGTCACCGCACGGTCCGTCACCGCACGGTCTTGGGACCCTGGAGGCCCCTGTCGCCCGATACATCCTCGGAGAACGATTCGAGTCCCAAAACCGTGCGGTGACCCCGAATCCCCACCGACTCACCGCACGGCGTGGTCACCACACCGTTTGGGGGCCCCCGACAGGCTTTCGGCGCCGGGCCGCCCCGCGCGGTTCCTCCGGAGCGCGCCCGCGACCAGGGAGGCGTTGGCCGCGACCTGCCCGGGGCGCGGGGCACGCGCTGCAGCCATCGGGCTCCTCCTCCTCCTCCTCCTCCTCCTCCTCCTCCTCCTCCTCCACCTCTGCTTCTTCTTATTATTATTCTTATTCTTTTTTTATGTTTATTATCATCCTTCTTTTTCTGAAACAAATGTGAAGAGCGGCCCGAACACCGAACGCCCGAGCCCCTCCTGAGCCACGAGGACGGCCCAAGTGGTTTCCAAGATATCCTACGGTCCACCCAAGGCGGCCGAAGACAGGCCCAAGAGGCACTCTGGGGGCCTTTTCTTCGCGGCGGCTGGACGCGCGTTTGAAGCCTATTGAGCCGCCTCGGGGCGATCCTCAGGACCTCAACACCACGAAACAAACTATGTTCGTTATCCTTTTTCCAGCAGTCTTGGGAAACCTCTTGGGGGCCTCGGAGGCTGCACTGACAACCTCAGACTGTTGTTCCAGTTCGACGCCTGCTTTGCAACGGCCCGTTGAAGACCGAGCTGACAAGACCCCACCCCTAGTCCTACTATTCCTTCCTCCTCCTGCTCCACGATGTCAGTCCAGAATTCCGCATTGCAGGGCTTACGCTTGGATTTGAAGCTCATTAGAATTAATCGTAGAGTGGTTGCATGATTTGTCCCCCTGGGTACGTGGACTCCCTCCTCGTGCTCCTTCTCTTGCTCCTCCCTTCCCACGCCCACTCCTCCCCCTCGGGCCCGTCCTCCACGTTGATTGCACTCCCACACCGAGTGTACTTAGCCAGAGCTGTAGTTCTGGCTACTACTGCTAGAGCTCGAGGTGCTGCCACTACATGCGCTAACAACCTTCCCCGCTGCATGGGGCCCCTGGCCCGCTCACATGCAGTCTGCTGCGGCGATGCAGCGGTCTTCCACGTCTTGCTCGCGAGAGGCCTGGGCCCGCCATCGGCAGATTCAGGAATCCCGCGGTCCAGGTCCACCAAGGTGGGCAAGCCCATGAACGACTGACGCTGAGAGGCGCCCATGCGCAAGTCCCTGCAGGGCAGTTTCTTAAACATGGTATATATAAATAAATAAAAACATATGATTTATTAATACATGACTAAACTATGAATAAATGTATGCATGAAATCATCGTTGTTTTTAACGCCGAATCCCTGCATGTTTAATACATGATCCGCACGCGGAGCATGTGTTAAAAACTGCACTGTACTGGGGCAAGCCGTTGACGTGCTGAACCACAGACTGCACGCTCCCGAAGCCAATCGTCCGTGCGCGTCCAGCCGCTGGTGCCCCTGGCCACTGGCGGGCACGCAGTGGGCAGCGTGTCGCCCTCCACGCATTTTCGGGGCATAGGAAGGGACGCACAGCGCGGGCGCGGCCACAAGAAACGCTCCTCCTCCTCCTCCTCCTCCTCCTCCTCCTCCTCCTCCGCCTCCTCCTCCTCCTCCTCCTCCTCCTCCTCCTCCTCCTCCTCCTCGCAAGAAACACCCAGCCCTGAGAACCCGCGCGCGAGGTGCACTGGATGGGGCAACCCCGAGCACCCCGAACGTGGCAGCTCCTTCCACGGCTGCGGGAAAGCACCCTGCAGCGCCAGGAGCGGAGACACCCAGGGCACCCTGACGAAGAGCATGTGGTCTCTCGATGCGCGCCCCCACTGCAGTGTGTGCCCTGGCAGAATTGAAGGGGCCCCAGGACACACAAATAAATACACACAAATAAAAATATGCCTTATATTTTCCAATATTTTCTGAGTTTTTGTCTTCCCCCCCACTTCCCATATTTTCCCATATTTTCTGGGAATCGACGATTAATTGTGTCTGTGTTTTTTTTTTCCTCCTGAAGAATGCCTTCCCGTGTCGGGGTTTGCCCTCCGGGCGCGCCCTGGGGCCTTCGACTCCCGCGGCCGGCGCGCGCCGCCGCCTGCGCGCGCCGGGGCCGGCGCCCCGGGGCCGCGCGCTCTCTTGAAGGGGCCCTGGGACACACAAATAAATACACACAAATGAAATTATTCCCCATATTTTCCTATATTTTCTGGGTTTTTGTCTTCCCCCCCATTTCCCATAGTTCCCCATATTTTCTGGGGGATCGACGATTAATTGTGTCTGTGTGTTTCTTTTCCTCCTGATCTCTATCTCCCTCGAGCAGAGCCGCTCCCCCTCGAGCGCCGACCCAGCCTTCTTGGCGACGGCGATGCTGGCCCGAAGACCCAGATCTCGGGTTGGGGGGAGGGGAGACGGGCTCCAGATGTGTGTTTTTTCTTGATGGCCCCCGACCCCCCCACTGGAAGTGGAGGGCAGATTGAGGCCGTCGGGTTGGGTCGGGGGTGGTCTGGTGGGTGGCGAGAGGCTGGTGGTGGCCTCGGCCTCCCGCAGCGGCGGCCCAACGCCAGCTTTGCCGCTGGGCTCCTCTTCCCAGGGCGCTTGCTTGTCGGCCGAGCCGGGCTGCTGCGGCCCAGGCTCACGTTTGGCCCCCGCGGGCGGCGACCCCCCCCCCGCAGCGGCGGGCGGCGCAGTGGGTTTCCACGCTGGAAGATCAGGGCGTCCGGGCCCAGCCTTGCTGGGCTCGGCGAGAGACTGCGGCTCCATTGCAGAACCACCGTCGTCATCGTCGATGCGCCGATCTTGTTCCCTCGCCGGAGTAGTGGCGCGGATCTGCGCCAGGAGGTCGTTTCAATGAGCCGACCCCCTGAAGTGTTCGACAGAGTCAACACCGCGGTCGCGGAGATCTTGCCGGAGTGCCACCGCCAACAAACACGCTCTGCAAGGCGCGCCGAATGCTCTCCGCATGAAGGCCTGGGGCGTCCTCTCTTCGCTGATCGCAGTTGCTTGGACTTTCTGTGGGAACTCTGGCATCAGAATGAACAGCCCGTCGTTGCCAATACTCTCGATGAGTTCCCGCGCAGCCATACCATGCAACGCTGCGCCAGCGCCGCGCGGCCCCAAGTTGCGGGTCTGGGGTACGATGGCGCGATGGAGTACCTCATAGACGACGCCCTCATCGCAACGATCTGCCGTGCTCGTCGCGCACCGCCGGCGCGCGGCAACGGTTCGACTGCGCCCGCGGATTGCACTTGCTCCGGTGCCTCGCGAGGCTTCGCATGGCCGTCCACCTCGACCTCGAGCTCCAGCGCGCGAGGTTCATCGACTTGCGCCTCCCATTCCCAAGCCTGGGCAGCTATGCGTGCCCCCAGCACTGTAGACGCGCGATGGCTGTCAGCCTTCAAGCTCGACGTGGAACGGCAAGCAGGAGTCCCCGTCCCACATTGCGAGTGGTTGAGCATCCAGGGCATCGTTGAGCACACAAGCAATGCTTTCCCGTTTGCGGTGATCAGAAGATGGTTCCAAGGTGTTGGTGATCTGCTCGATTGCCGCATCCTTGGAAATAAAATCACGAACGCAGCCTGCTTTGGACCCTGCGGGCAGGCCAATATCGAAGATCCCGCAGACTGCTCTGGACCCAAGACCCCGCCACAATGCCTCAAGGCACTACCCTCAAGTCCCTTGAGCCCCCCGTCCTAGCTCCTGAGGATTGAATGTTGGGGGGCCTGGGCAATACATTCACTGATTCTACAAGGTCTCCTGCGTGTTCCTGCGCGACTTTTCCGGAGGCAAGAGGGCCCCAAGACGGGCCAGCAGGGCCCAACGGGGAAGACAATCCAAGTGAGCCCCGAGACGGCCGACGATCGCTCCAAGCTCCAAGACGCCCAAGACGGCCAGAGCCCCCCCCCCCACGCTCCACGTCGACGAGGGTCCCAGGACGGCCCAAGAGGCCCCCGACATGGCCCAGGAGGGCCCCAAGCGAGCCTCAAGAAAGGGAGCACAAAACGACACGTCGCGCACTCCGTCCCGAGGACCCTCGAGACCGCCAGCCGGCCCACCCAAGGCCCACAAGAAGCCCCCGGGAGCCTCTCCAGAGGCCCGGGGCAGGCTCGAGGCCCCGAAGAGGCCCTCGAGACACCTCAAGCACAACCGCCGAGAGGTCTCTACGAGCCCTCCCACGAGAACCCAACAGGCATCCGAAAGGCCTCTGATCTGCAGGCCGACGGCAACTGGCTTGTCTGAGAAAAGACACCCACATCTTCGATAGCGCAAGTGAAGCGTAGATGATCGTCCGAACAGCTTCATGCTCACATCGCCCACGAACAATGCAGCCCACATGAATGTTGGGTCCCCAATATTTTCTGGGCCTCAAAGAAATGGGCCTGATAATCCCTCTGAAGCCACGAAAAAGAGGCCCCACAAGAACCTCAAGGATCCCTCCCAACAAAAACATGCACATCCAGAACTACTCGAGCACCTCTTCCATCTGTCCCCCATGACGACGACGAGGACGACAAACAACGACGGTGTGGACGACCTCGTTGTCCTCACTCTCCTCGCCCTGGTCGTCGTCGTCGCCACCCTCGTCGCCGTCGTCATCGCCGTGCTCCTCGTCGACCTCATCTGGAGGAGCATAACACACTGCTACCGCTACTACCCCGACCTCTCCCGGAGCGCGTTCCGACCAACATTTCCAGGAGAGTGCGGCCCTGGCGACGAGGGAAGGGATCTGCAGGACGAGCATCGGTATCGGTATCTCTCCCTCCTCTGATCCCAAACTCCCGATGCCATGACTTTGTCATGACATGGGCCCGAAATCTGGACCCGCCTTCAAGGACCCGGTTTTTCATGACGGGTGGCTCCTTGACGGCCCTAGGGCCCTGTAGGGACCCCAGAGGCCGAACACAATCCAACAAAACCCTTCCGTCATTCATGTTTCACTCCACGACGGGGTCTGGAAGAGCGAAAAACCTTCCGTGGTCGTCGTCGTCGTCGTCGTCGCAGCCGCCGCCGCGGCGGCCGCCGAGGTCCGCGGACCAGAGGGCCTCCTGGGCCTCCCGCTCGCGGTCTTGCCGGAGCGCCCCGGCCTTCGTTGCGGCGGCGAGGGCAGCCTCCTCGGGGGGCTCCAGGGGCTGACTGGGCGCAGGGAGCGGCAGGCCCGCCTCTCACACAGCGTTCACAAGACCTTCCACTCGATAACGAACAGCGCCAGGTAAAAAACGGTTCACGAAACGATAAAGATTGTCCAGAGAAGCGGCCAGGGCAATTCGGGGGCCCGAAGGACAGTCGGAACCTGTTCGGCAACGGTTCGGGTCCGGTAGAAGAGCGGTGATCTGGGCAAACCCCTTGCCAGGGGAAACGAAAACGGCACATCAACGGTGCAGGACACGTCAACAAAAACTGCACTGGAACCTGAAAAACATCAGAAGACGATTGCAATGAAGTGTTAGCCAGCGTGGACCCCAAACAGTGTGTTTCTATTCGTATAACATGCGCAGTGGATGTATGGAAACGTCTGTGCTGTAAAGTACATGTGGTGCAATATATGTGGTACGCCATTGATGCGGTGCACTCTCTGTTGTGTTACATGTGTGTTGCAATGGATGTGGTACGCAGCTTGACAGTCTATCTTGTGCAGCCTACGTGGTGAAATACATGCATGTGTATATGTATGTATGTATGTATGTATATATATATATATAGTTGTATGTAAATCCACCGACCCAATCCACCGACTCTAGATGATGGGGAGGCTGGGGTTCACTTCGCTCGGGAGCTCCCGAGCGAAGTGAGCCCCACCCTCCCCCTCTGAAATCGTGGGGGGTAGGGGTAGGCTTCGCATGTGGTCCCTGATCCTTGTCAGGAGGCAACTGCTGGGAGGTTTTCGTCGGAAGGATCATGGATGATTCAGCCCCATTTGGGAACTATCACGTCTGAGTCGGCCTCGGATGAAGCAGGATTGAGCGGGATCCAGCGGGGTCAAGCCGGCTAAGCGGGATTAGTCCGGATTAAGCCGGACTTCGGACCAGTGCAAAATCAGAATTTGACCTCCCAGGAGTTGCATCCCAATCCTTGCGAGGGCGACCCTTCGAGGATCTTCAGAAGGCGTGTCAGCGCCGGTGTGCGTGTTGCCCATCGAGGCCCCTCCGTACGACGCAGGCGGCGCAACGAGAGCCGACACAAGCGGTGCGCAGTCGGCGGAACCGAGCGGGGTAACACACACGCTTGGACTAGCACACGTGCTGCGGGATCATCGAACCCTACGAGGATCGAGGGATGATAAACCAAAACAGAGCCCCTACCCCTTGGGGAGGCGACCTAAGTTAGGAGGGCCACAAACCTTGGGGATAAGGGGGTCTCTTATACAAGCGCACCAGACCACACCGCCCAAATCGATTATTCCTGATGCGAAGACGGGGACATCAGTGAGGCCACGTCTTCGTCGTGTCGTTAGGGCTATGGGTTCTTTTGTGCTCGAGGCTTGATCGACCCCCCCTCCGTGAGGCCCCGACGATCCTCCATCGACCATCAATGGACCCTCCGTCGACCCTCAATCGGCCCCGCGATGTGCTCGAGGCTTGACTTAGGTCGGGCATGTCCTCCTACAGGCAGATCTTGGGCGAAAAATGCACAACATGCAAACATATCCAGAAATAACCCAAGATTATCCAAAGATCGTGCCCATAATATTTTTGGACAATGTTTGGAGATCCCTCCTGTAGAGGGACAAGCCCGACTTAATGCTTGACCAGCCCTCCATGCGCGAGGCCCCCACGACCGCCCCCACCGCGGGCCCCCCGGCGCGTCCTCCGCGCCGGCGGCCGCGGCCTCCCTCCGCTCCGCGGCGGCCTCCGCCGCCGCGGCGGCCTCCGCCGCCGTGGGGCGCCGCAGCCGACGAGGGCGCCGCCGTCGGCGCCGCCGTCGTCGCCGCCGAGGCGCCTCCGCCGTCTTTTTCTTTTTTTTATTGTGTTTCTCCTTCTTCATTTTCTTCTTCCTCCTCCTCCTCCTCCTCCTCCGCCTCCTCCTCCTCTCCTCCTCCTCCTCCTCCTCCCTCTCCTCCTCCTCCTCCTCCTCCTCTCCTCCTCCTCCTCTCTCCTCCTCCCCCTCCTCCTCCCCTCCTCCTCCTCCTCCTCCTCCTCTTCCTCCTCCTCCTCCTCCTCCTGCCCGGGCGCCGTCGAAGCGACGTTGGCGCCGTCGCCGTCGCCGTCAAAGCGCCGCCGTTGGGCGCCGTCGCCGACGATACCGCCGCCGTTGGCGCCGTCGTCGTCGCCGCCGAGGCGCCGCTGCCGTCCAGGGCGCCGTCGACGGCGAGGCCGAGGTCGTTGGCGCCGGCGCCGCCGCCGCCGTTGGGCGCGGTCGCTGTCGAGGCCGTCGTCGTTGGCGCCGAGAATGCGAAGCGGGATCCCCAGGGCACACTTGAGGCCCCGGATCGCACGTCAGAGGCACGAGGCTGGATCCCAAGGAAACACAGCTGGCGGCCCCACGCGTCGGGTAGTAACACTGCGCTTGAGCTTACAATCCGACCAGACATGGGCGTCTGCCCCGCGGAAGTCCCACGCGAAAGCTTTCAAAAACCGGAACATACTTGGAAAGAACCTGCCTTCCATCCGCTTGCGCGGTCCAGGCTGTAAAGAATACTGGGCGCGTGCCTCGCGGCAAACTTACACGAGAGCACGAAAACCCCGTGAATATAGACGGTATACTTCGCATTCGGACGCGCGCGGAACAGCTGGGAGACCCCAGCTCAGGGCGGGCGCGCGTTAAGTAATGTGCCCAAGAAGCTGCCTGCCCTTGAGGGTCCTTATTTGATGACGGCGGCGACGATACCCATGGCCGATCCACGACTGGAATCTCACCAGCCTGCTCCCAAACCTTGGATTGCTTATCCATCGGTTCCTTGCCCACTGCCCCCACCGTGTTCAGCATGGCTCGCCATCAACTCACGCAGCCATACAACAATTCGGAAGCCGACGACGCACGGCACGGCACCAGGGCCTGAGCCCCCATGTTTAGACATAGCCTGAATTCTATATAGGCAATTTTTAATACATGGGATGTGTAAAGATATCGGAATTTTATTACATGACGAATGTGTGAATGAATGTATGCATGAACCCATTGATTGGTTTAAAACTAAATCCCTGCATTTATAATACATGATCCGCACGCGGAGCATGTATTTAAACCGGCGCTGTATGTTCCCTGGGTGTGCGGCCCAATCGCAGCGAGAGCCCCACTGTGAAAACTGATTGTGATTCACGCGCCAACGCGACCTGAATTCATCTGCCCTGTGAAGCCCCGTGGGGCAACGGCGATGAGGATGAGGACGTGGATGGTGTTGCCGCTAGTGGCGACGGCGGGCCTGGGAGCGCCTGGTGAAAGGGTCGTGCTGTTTGGGGGCGCCTGGGAGCATCTTGATGCACCTGGGGTAGTCTGGGGAATGCTTGGGTCCATCATCGGAGTCGGCGATCGGCGCCCGAGACGCATCGATCTATGGCATATCTGCGATCGGCAGGCATGCTGGCTCGTGTTGCCTGTGATGCCCAGGGGTCTTTGAGGCCAGCACATGCGCACCGAGTGCATGTGTTTACGATCGGATGGATGTGCACCACAGTTCATGCTTCTGCGCCGGACGGTGAGGATTCGGTCGTGCGGCTGCACACCAAACCGAAGATGTGTCATAGGATGGTGAGGATTGGGTCGGATGGACGTGCACGGAATAAGCTTTTTTCCCCCTCATCGAATGGTACATATTGGATCGTATGGATGCGCGGTGGGTAACAGTTGTTTTCACATTGGGTGGTGAGGGTGGGCCGTATGGATGTGACCCGCCTTGTATTTGTTGCATTTGCTGGTGGGGGGTGGGCCGGATGGATGTGTACGGAATGACACTAAAACCATCGCGCGCTTCACGCAAAGTCGCATTCTCCTTGCCATGGGGCCAAGCGTACAGCGCGCCAGGGGAATCGTGTCTGGATGATCGGGTCTTTGTCTAGAGAACCCACTCGATGGTGCCTGAAGTCGCACTCGGGCCTGCTATTCGAAACAATCCTGGGCCATCCTTGGGCCACACTGCAACTCTCTTCGGGATCACGAGGACCTCCGAGGCCATCTTGGAACCAAACTTTCGCAACATTTGGCAAATACACAAGAAAGGGAACACGAATTGGGAACCCTTTCGTTAGCTCCTGCTCCCTTCCCTCCTCTTTTTCATTGGCTCCGCACCAAAACGGCCCACTCCGAGGCCGCTCCCGGCCCCCAGCGGCGGACGCAGCGGCGCCACCGAAAGAAGGGCAACACAATAGGGGGTGGGCGGGCGGGACAGGCGGTCCCACCCTTGAGCCCCCAACAGCGGCAGGCACGCGGCGAGCGCGCGCGAGGGTGAGACACGAGGAGGGGCACCACTCGCCGTCGCTCGGACGTCCATTTCCCGTGCAATGTTCGGTTTCGTGCGTGTTTGTTTCGCTCGATGGTCCAGGATCGTCCTCAAGGGTCCTCGCCGAAGGAAGACATGCACACGTCCGAACGATGCCAGGACCAAAGAGTCTGACTTTGCTTCCCCTTCGTGAAGCCGGCTTTTTGACGGGCGTGGCGCGCTTTTGAAAGTCCCGTGTGGGCAATCTTTACCAGCCTCGAACGTATCCCTATCCCTAAGATTGACACGCCAAAAGGCGATGACAATCTTAAGGATTCGCCCTCAAAAAATAAGGGAATCCCTAAGATTGGCATCGTGATGAGGAGGTGCCCAGCATAGGAATAGGGATATGTTCCAGGCTGGTAAACTCTGGCGGCCCCCAAGAGGGCCACCGTCGGGGCCCCCGCCGCGCTGCCGGGGAGAGCATCCTGGGGCGGGCAGGCCGCCGGGGGAGCCTGCGGGAGGCCCCGCCGGGGATGGGAGGGGGCGAGCCGGGCTCGGGGCGTCGTGGCCTGAGCTCAACGCCCCCCCCCCCCGTACGCGGGGATGGACAAGCCCCCCTTTAGCAAAACGCGGTTTAGTGAAAACGGCCTCGGGCCAAAGCCTGGCGGGCGCAAGCCTGGAACATGACGGCCGCGGCGCCCTCTGGAGAACCGGAAACGGCCAACTCCTGAATCGACGCGTCAGGGTAGGAGCTCTGTCCACCCCCGACATGCATCGCCTTTCAAAGCGGCACCGCAACCAACGCGAGGAGCTGGAAGAGTCCTCCTGGTGGCGTGGCCCCCTCTCTCCGCTCGAGACTCCCCCTATATCTCCCAGATCGGGGAGGCGTCGCGGGCTGCCAGACCCCAGGACCCCCGAGTCTCCCCGAGAGTCCCGCTTCGCGCAACTCTGAATGTCGCCGCCGCCAGATCCCCAAGTCCCCGAATGTCCCTGAGAGAACCGCCTCGAGCCACTCTGTATACCGCGGCCGCCCGATCCCCATGTCCACGAATGTCCCCGAGAGTCCCCCCTCGCGACATTCTGAAACCCGCGGCCGACAGATCCCCAACTCCCCGAATGTCCTCTAGAACCCCGCCTCGCGCCACTCTGCAACCCACGGCCGCCAGATCCCCAGGCCCCCCGAGTGTCCCCGAGTGTCCCACCTCGCGCCGACACATCATAACATAACAGAGCGGCAATGTAGAATAGCAGAACTCGTACAGCACAATACTATCAGCTATGGCAGGACAAACCATAACACCACACAACCTAACATAACAGATCCGAGCATACCATGACATATAATGATGTGATGTAACATATCGTAGCATAGCACCACATGACAGAGCCGAGCACACCATGGCACAGCACAACAGCACATGGCAGTACATGACACGACAAAACAGGCATACAATAAGAACACCTAGCCAAACTGACACACATCTGAACATAACCTGTCACAGCATCACACACATGAAATACCCACATCATAACAACGCATGATATGTCATACCAGGTCCTAAATCCCATAGCCTAACATACCATACTATATAATGGCATACCACCGCAAAACATAATGGGGCAGTCTATATCACACCGTGGAATACTCCACCACAGCATAAACCTAGCATCGCAACACCTACTGCATGACAAGCGGCGTCGCAGCCCATATGACACGTCATAACAAGAACACGCGCGGCATAATAAGTTACACCATAGCAGACCATAGCACACCACTGCATCAGACGTTAGGACGGAGTTGGTCATACTGGACAGAGCATACCACCACACAACACAGCATACCATAACACTATATGACATACCTGAACATGGCATGCCATACCATTTAAACCATACCATGACATAACATGTCGTGGTAGAGCATACCACACCACAGCACAGCATAATCTCGAATAGTATTTCAGATACTGGCATATCATATCATGGCAGAGCGCGGCAGTTCACACTACAATATACCAGTACATAAGAGTCATACTGTTCCAGGACACCAATGACATAACAACGCGTGCTATTTCATCGCATGTCATAAACAAATCTCACAAGGAGGCATCATACCAACGCATGCAATTACACCCTAAAGCAGGCATACTATTCCATAACACCACGCATCCTATCAACTAGAAGACAGAGCGCAGCATACCATAGCGTGAACAGAGCAGAGCAAACCATGTCACACAATGGCATCACATGCCATAAGATTACGCAGAGCCGCAACATGTCAAAACATGTCAAACCATATCATGACGGATCTCGGAACCGCACCTCATAACACCGCGAGACATACGAGATACTCACATGCCATGTCCTAACGTAATACAGCATGGCAGAACGCAGCATCGAACACGGCAACGAATACATGGACGCATGCCATGACATACAACAATATCAAGGGTATGCCGCCACATATCATCACAACGCGCAACGGAAACCCTTTACTATTAGTATCAAGGCGGCACCACATGTACGCAAACAGCGTAGATTCGACCATTTGCGGAGCATGACAGAACATAGCACAATGTAATGCACAGAGCACAGAGCGCAACGTAATCAGCATACCGTGGTAGAACTCTTTCTCCACTGATTCTCTTCTACGGCAGAGAGCTCGACACAACACCGCAAACTATACCTTCATTGAAGGGGCATGTCATGACACGGTGACACGGCGGGGTATCATAGACTGCAATGAACTCAGCATAACGTAAACAATATCACTGAGCAACGTATTCCATAACATAAAGTGACAGACTAGACCAATTTACAGCACTGACAGAATCGACCAAGCTATAACACATTGCCGCAGGACAACAGGAGCCACCATAATTAAAGGGGTACGTCATGGCATAATCCATTGGACTGGAATCTTATCGAACGCGACGTGCGCGCCGAGGTCAGGCTGGCCTCTCAGCCAAAGAAGCGGAACAACCGATTGGACGACGTATCACACGTGAGGGGCGTCATGACGTCACGCCAGGCTGCCCCTACTTCAACGATTACTTCCACTACGACTACTACGACGACTACTGCTACTACTACTACTACTACTAATACTACTACTACTACTACTACTACTACTACTAATACTACTACTAATATTACTACGGCTACTACTACTACTACTCTGGCCATCGCTCGGACGTCCATTCCGTGTGTTTTTTCGGTTTCGTGCGTGGCTTGTTCGCCAGATGATCAAGGATGCTCCTCGATGATCCTCGCCGGAGGAAATATGCACACGTCCGAGCGAGGCCACGTACTACTATTATTATTACGACTACTACTACTGCTACTACTACTACTACTATTACTACTACTGCTACTACTACTACTACTACTAGTACTACTACTGCTGCTGCTGCTGCTGCTACGCCTACGACTACTACTACTACTACTACTACTACTACCACTACTACTACTACTACTACTACTACTACTACTACTACTACTACTACCACTACGACTACTACTACTACTACTGCACGACTACTACTACTACTACTACTACTACAACTACTACTACTACTACTACTACTACTACTACTACTATACTACTACTACTACTACTACCACTACTACTACTACTACTACTACTACTACTACTACGACTACTACTACTACTACTATACTACTACTACTACTACTACTACTCCTGCTACTACTACTACTACTACTACTACTACTACTACTACTACTACTACTACTACTACTACTACTACTACGACTACTACTACTACTACAACTACTACTACTACTACTATTACTAATATTTTTACTACTACTACTACCACTACTACTACTACTACTACTACTACTACTACTACTATTACGACTACTACTACTACCACTACTACTACTACTACTACTACTACTAATACTACTACTACTACTACTGCTATTATTACTACTACTACTACTACTACTACTACTACTACTACTACTACTACTACAACTACTACAACTACTACTACTACTACTACTACTACTACTACTACTACTACTACTACTACTACTACTACTACCTCTGCCACTGCTACGACGACGACGACGACGACTACTACTGCCACCATCATTACTACTACTATTACTGCTGCTGCTGCTGCTCGTCCTCCGACTGATTCTTTCAGGATCTAGTTTTGAGTCTCGCATGACGCATTTAGGAGATTACTTGTTCTCCCCGAGCCTTGTTTCGGTTTCTCTCGTCAGGGGCCCTGGGGCCGTTAGAATTCAGGGGAACGGCAACAAGCGACCTGGCCAGACCGCCGCACTGTCCGATATCACCGGTGGGCGCGAGCACCGTCGGGATCAAACGCGAAGGTTTCTGTGGGGATCGCTCGAAGCAACATCATTTTACATCGGATGGTGGGGATTGGGTCGTACGAGTGTGAGCAGACTTGTTGTATTTGTTGCAGTCAATGGTGAGGGTTGGGTCGGTGGATTTGCACCGATTAATAACTGTTGCAAAGGATGGTGAGCGTTGAGTCGTATGGATGTGCGCGGCGCTCAGGCAAGCTTCAGGTTTTGAAAACCACCTGGATCCAAGCTTGAAGCTGTTGCAAATTGTTAAAACACATGCGCGCGGCAATACCGCGAGAACCAGATTTTGAAAACCGCTCGGGTTCCATCCCTGGAACTGTGGCCAGTGTTTAAGACGAATGTGCGCGGCGCGAAAGCGAGATACATATGTTGGAACACACGCGGTCTCCATTCTTGACACTGCTACACCTTCCAAGCTTCAAGATCGTAATTGGCGAAGACATCTCAGGCGAACCGCCCAGCGCGGCCTACGGAACCGTCGGAGCTATGTACAAGGAACAAGATGGAGGAACGGAAGATGGAGGAGAGACGGAAAGGTAGGAGCGAACGGGAGACAGAGGAAGGAGAAGGGAAGGGGGGGCAGAGTAAGACGGGGGAGGAGCGATTCCCCGACGCCCCCCCCTCGTCAGCGCGCTGGCGCCATGAGGGGATGCGGGCGCAACTGCGCCGACGACGGCGACGGACGGACGACGTCGACGAAATACGACGACGAACGACGGCTGCGACGATAGCCAGCGTCCTTCCACGCGTCGCCCGCCGCCGCCAGCCTGTCCTCGCGAGGGGGACCGGATAGCCCCTCGTTGACTATGGCAGACGATTGTCGGGACGACGACAGCTACAACGCCGCCCGCCTAGGTACACGCACAGAGCGCTTCGCTGCTGAGGAAACGGATTTGCCGCAGTCACCTGGTTACCCCTGTAGACCACCATCCCTTCCACATTCTTGGCCCACCAAGCATCCTAAGTCAACAGCAGATCCAACATCCTCCCGTCCCCACCCTCCACCGGCAACCGTTCTTTCTGCTGCTGCTCCGCCTCCCCCTCCCCCAGCATCCCCTTTCCACCAATCCACCACACTACTCATCCTTCTCATTGTACTCACCCTCCAGCCATGCTCCTCCACCCATCCCCATCCTCGACTTAGCCCCCCTCCTCCAACATCTCCCACCTCTACATCCATCCTCCGTATCCGGCCCCATCCTGCACCTCCCCCTCCACCTCCCCCGCCATCCCCTCCCCTCCCTCCCTCCCTTCCTCCTCCACCCGCCTACTTCTTGCCCTCCCGTCCCCACGTCCCCTCCTCCTCTTCCTCCGATGTCGTGATTGTTAGCATTATGGTAACTTTCTGGACCACTTTCTGGTAACCGGATGTTCGCCCCAGACGGTCGTTGGACGGTCCCAATAACGGAGAGGGCCCCCAGACGACGAATGCGACGACAAAACGCCGCCTTGATTTGTGCAATGCGCGCCCCTCCTCCAACGTTGGGTCGGACATGTCCCCTTACAGGCGGATTCTGGACGAAAAATTAGAAGTATTCTCAACACATACCCGAGAAACGAACTACCAACAGATCGTCCCCATATTATGTCTTGGCTATTTTTGAAGACTCCTCCCGTACAGGGACAGCCCGACTTCACTCCAACGTCCCCCCCCTCCCTCCTCCGAGACCCGACGGCACCGACAGCCCCCGCGGGGTCTCCTGGCAGCCCCGCGCCCTGTCCGCGGCGGCGCTGTCCACCGTCGCGGCCTGCCGGCGGCGGGGCGGGCCTGCCCCCCCCCTCTCCTCCCTCGTGCCTCCCTCCTCTCCTCCCTGCTCCTGGCCTGGCCCCCTCTCCTCCCTCGTGTCTCCTCCTCTCTTCCCTGCTCCTCCCTCCTCCTCCCTATAAAACAGGGCTAGGATCAGGATAAATCGCTCCAGAGCGTTCCGGAGCGCTCTCAGAGCGTTCCGGAACGCTCTGGAGCGGCCGCGGCGCCCAATACATCCTCCAAACCCGCCGATTCTCAGAGATTTGGAGTTATCCCGATCCGATTTTGTCCCGATCGTCGCGTCGTTTTACCCTACGTGCTCCTCCCTCTTCCCTCCTCCGATGGAGCGACGCGCGGCCAAGGCCGGGGCCGACCGAGCCCAGGCCCATGCGCGTGCCGCTCCGCAGGCGGGCCACCGCGCCTTCGACTGCGAGGTCGGGCCCGCGCTCCGTCTTTCCCCTCTGTTCCATAACCGTTGCGGGGGCACGGAGATACTCCAAGCGGGCACGGTCAGTTGCGTCGCACCACCTCCCTCCTCCTCCTCCTCCTCCTCCTCCTCCTCCTCCTCCTCCTCCTCCTCCTCCTCCCGTTTCCTCCCCCTTGCCTGCTCCCTCCTCGCTGCGCCGCCCTCCTCCCCCCCCGCGGCTCCCTCTTCCCGGCAGAAAAAGGGAGGGCCTCCTCCCGTTCCTTCCCTCCGGGTCCCCTCCTCCTCCTCCTCCTCCTCCTCCTCCTCCTCCTCCTCCTCCTCCTCCTCCTCATCGGCGCGCTTGATGTCCACGTGCGCGCGTCGAGGAGCAAACGGCGCGGCGACGTGTGAACGACTGGGTCGGGAGCCCCTGGGGGCCTCCGCTCCGAGAGCGGAGGTCCTTTCGGGTGGAACGGCCTCGTGCAGGGCGAGCGGCGCACGGACGGCCTTCGTGATCCTGCTTTGAGCGCTTCTAGTTTTAGGTCGGGCATGTTCTCCTACAGGCAGGTTCCGGAAGACAAATAACTAACAGTCAGAAGATAGCCACAATAGTCAGAAGAGCACGAGCAACTGTCACCTGGCAATTTTTCTATTCTTGAACATTCCTCATGTAGATGGGCATGCCCGACTGAAATCCTAGTTCCCACACCCTCCTATCATGACAGCGTCGATTGCCACCCGAGAGCGGGCCGAGGCTCTCCCTACGGTCCCTCGGCCCACGAAGACGGCCGTGGGCAAAGGTGCCAGCGTACCTCCACCACTCAGGCCCTCTTGACCTGAAGGCGCCATCTGCCACCATCCACCGCCTTCCCTCTCGGGCACGTGAGGTGGGACTTGCTCCCTACCGCCTCAGGTTCCCGCCCTCCGACCCGCTGCTTCCTCGCCCGCCCATTGAGTTGTCTGCCTCGACCGGAAGGTGGCTTCCCCGACCTGGTGTTCAATACATCCTCAGGCCCAAAGCGTGCCCCTGCCAACACAACCCGCCTCCGCCGCCTCGCCGCCAGCGGAACCACAGGCCGAGGCAAGGCAAAAACCACGTCGTCGCGCACCCTCGTGCCCCCGCCCCCTCCTCCTCGCCTTTCCCTGTTGCCTTTCCCACCCCCCCCCCTCCTCCTCCGCCTGGGGGGTCAACAAGCTCTCACGGTGCAGGCAAGCTGGTGTTGGGCGTGCCGGCCTATCCGCTAGCGGTGCGGGGCAGGTTGGCCCATGACGATCTTTGTGCGCGCTGGGCGGGGCGTGCAGAGAAAATCAACGAGTGCCCATGTACGCATTTTGGACGTACCAACCTATCGTCGGCGCCAGGCTCGGGCACGAAATTGTCACGAAACTCCTCTTGGCCACCTTGTGTCAGTGACCTTCTGAGGCCGCCTAGGGGCCTCTTGAGGTCACCAATCGATGCCTGTCTTAGGCGTGTGGATTTGACATACTGCCTTCCCTGACCCACGCGCCGGGGGTTTGGGGTTGGGGGCGCAAACAACGTTCGCCGCCATCAAGCCTCCCCTATTCGGATTCCCGCGATCAGGATCTCTAGCCGCGGCTCCGCAGAGGCCGGATGCAACTTGAACACGTGATATGCCCCACCCCTCGCACTTTCTCCCCCCATCGTCCTATATCACTTTCTCTCTCGTTCTGCCCCTGTCTCTCTCTTTCTCCCTCTCTCCCTCTCTCCCTCCCTCCCCCTCTCTCCCTCTCCTGGGGCCTTGCCTCGACCCCCCCCCCCAGGGTTGCTGCGGTCAGGTGGCCGTTACCGCCCTTCGGCGCTCCCGCCCCCTGTCGCTCCCATTGTTGAAACGAGGGCTCCCAACTTCGCGCTTCGCGCTGCGCGAAGCGCGAATAACTTCGCGCTCTCGCGCCGCCTCCCAGGGGAGAAATGGAGGGCGAGGAGGAATCGGAGCCGAACCGCGAAGCGCGAAGCGCTAGTAACTTCGCGCCCTCGAGGGCGCCCTTGCTCACACTCCCTCTCGGCAGGGATCCGCTCTGCAGGAGCCGAGAACCCTCGAGGGCGGCGCCCACCGTCCCCCCCCTCGCACCCTCCCCCGGGCGAGGAGCGCCTCGAGGCCTGACGCCGTGTGGACCAGCGCCAGGCCTCACGCCACCTTGCAGCTTCCCTCCTGGGGGCTGCGTGGGTGCCCACCCCCACCTGTCATGCAGAGCAAAAAACTGTGCGCATACACCGATTCTGGCCAGGCCCATGCTGAGCCCAGGGTCGGTGCATACGCCCTCCGACCGTGGCCAGGGCAGCATGTGCACCGATCCTGGGTCAAGGATGGGCCTCGCCAGCACCGATTGTGCATGCGCATAATTCTCGTCGCCCGATATCATAGGGGCTGCGTGGGTTCTCACCCCCACCTATCACGACAGCGTCGATTGCCACCAGAGGCCGAGGCCCTCCCTACGGTCCCTCGGCCCACGAGGACAGCGACTGGGAGGGCTGCCGACGCATCTCCACAACTCAGACCCTCTTGACCTGAAGGCGCCAACTGCCACCATCCGCTGCTATCCTCTCTCGGGGAGGAGGAGATGCGGGAGAGGCCTACGAGTGCCTTGTCGCCCTCCCGGGCCGTCTCGGGTGATTTACTGCGCCGTACTGAGGATTTTCGTTCGTAGCCCACCTCGTGCCCCGCGAGCGTGGCAAAGACAGGTGCGCTGAACACCTGTCCGTGCCCGAAGCGATGCTGAACATGAGGCCGCGATGAACTGTGAAGTAAATGTGTTGAGGTCACCCGCCCAGGACCCGATTGTAGACGCCCGAAGCTTGGGACCTGGGCCGCTCCCCGCCCTCACCAGCGCCCTTTCCGCCTTTCCAAGGTCGCTCCGGAGCTGTTGTCCAAGCGACTCAGCAGAGCTAGCAAAGCAACACACCTACGCGGCTCGCCTACTGAGCTTGTCAGCATCCAGAAGGTCTGACACCTCCTTGATGGGGTTAGCAAACTCCACTCTGGCAGTCTATTGCCCCCCAGAGGTGGACGCCAAAGTATTCATGCCGATGGCGTTCGAATATCTGGGCAAAGCACGCGAAAAGGCAAGGCGGCCCTTCTTCACCCCTACGTTCCGTTCCCCAACCAAGGCTCACTAACTACCCAACTTGCTGTCGCTTCCTCCTTCAAATCTGGGATCTGGACTTGGGGTGGCTATAAACACTGCTGTCAATATGAATCGACATGATGCTCTAGAGTGAACTACCGCGCGCGCGGCCTGTAGGCTGCAGGGCCTGTCACCAGGCCATTCCAGCATGGACGAGAGGACCGTCACAAACGAGGGGATGCAGGAGTTGAAATGGAAGAGAACACAAATCGAGGGAGTGAGGAAACCACCCCCGCTTGAAACAAACCAACTGGCCGAAAACCGAAATTGGTCGAGAACCGCCTTGCTCTGAGGAGCCGCGGTGTAATGCTGGCTCCTTTCTGCAAATTGGAATCACGCTCCCATTCTTCCGGTTCGGAATCCGCTACGATCGTGCAATAAATCCGCTACTCCGCCTCATTCTTGAGCTCCTGCCGCGTTCGAGATTGAAAAAAAGGCAGGCAGGATGACAGCCTCGTTGAAACTAGCCAAATCTGGTATTTCACACTGACTGCAGAAGATGGCCGAATTTTACCCTGAGCCGAAGGCCCGCGAACATTGCCCTGCGTCGTTCTACAAGGTGCAGTCCGGCAGGGTATGTAAACTGCACCAGCCTACTAAACATGCAAGTGCTTGATGGGTCCCCAACGCGCTGTCGTGGCTGAAAGGAGGGCCGCCGCTACGGTGCGAGGGCTCCCCACGGCCCACCCCGCGGCTCACCCGCGACCCACCCCGCGACCCACCCGCGACACACCCCGCGACCCATCCGCGACCCATCCGCGACCCACCCGTGGCCCACCCTCAAGGGAGGAAAAATCACCCTCAATTGACTTTTACTAAACGGCCTTGGGCGTTGACTAAACAGCCCTGCCCTATTCGATTCATCCCTTGCATGCGTTTACTAATCGGCTTCGCTTGTCGGGGTGATTATTCGGGGGTGGATTTTCTGCTGTCTACACCCGCGACCCAACGTGATCCACCCGCGACCCAACAGCGACCCACCCGCGACCGAATTGCGACCCACCCGCGACCTACCCACGTTGGTTTAACGAATTAATCGGCGCCCGCGGCGGGCTCGATGCATAATTTGTGAAACTTTGGCGCCTGCGGCGGGCTTCGCCAGAGTCTCGCCAACTGCCGACGTCCCCACCGCCTCCTCACTCTTATCCGCATCTGCGGGGTGTTACGGTAAAGCACCAAGGATCGGAGCCACTCCCGGGGCCTTCCGGGGTCACCGGGTGTCTCCTGCCGCTTCCTGTGGCCTCCTGGGGCCTCCTGGGGCCTCCTGGTGCTTCCTGTGGCCTCCTGGAGCCTCTTGGGGCTTTTTGGAACCTCCTGGGGCCTCCTGTGGCCGCCTCATCCCTCCTGGGACCTCATGTGGCCTCCTGGGGCCTCGTGTGGCATCCTGAAGATGATCCACGCCCACGAGTCCGGCCAGCAAACCAGGCAAGCCTTTCGAGGCATCCTCGCAATCTGGGTTACCAAGGGTGCGAGAACCAGCGCCTCGCTCGAGACATCCTCGAAGTCAGTTCCCGAAGCGGAGGATGTTGTTGGGAATCCCTGCCATTCTGGCGCGAACGGAGGACTGAAATACCCCCTGGCGGCTACCCCTAGGGAGTGTTGAAACCCGCGCCTCGCTCGAGACATCCTCAGAAGTTGGTCCGCCATCATGATGATGATCATCATCAGCATCATCAGCATCATCATCATCATCATCATCATCAGCAGCACCAGCAGCATCATCGTCATCATCATAGTTAGCGTCATTATCAGCATTTGTATCAGCATCATTGTCATCATCATAATTATCATTACCACCACCATCATCTTCACCATCACCATCATCATCACCATCACCCTCATCACCATCACCATTAGCATCCTAATCCTCAGCCTCATCATAACGTAGCGTCGCATGCATACCATATAACAACAAAGCATGCGATTATTGAGTGATCCTGCGTGAGAAAGAGCGAGTCAGAGAATGAGTGAGTCTGCGTGATGTGCAAGTCTGAGCGATGAGTGAGGCGTGGGTGTGACTGTCATCCCGGCGCGGTGAAAGTAATAACAATAACACCATCTTGGGATATGGGGAAATAATCCATTACTTTGGATTTGATAAATGCCCCCAACACTTCCACGTGTGCTTCCACGCCTGAGCATACCTTTGAAATTCCCCCCATGCGGCAACCAACCATCTTCCCAACTCCTCCTTTATGCTCCCGATGTCGTACAGTGTAGCCCTGAAGTACTTCATGCCCATTTCTTCACCCCCTTGGAGCCCAAAAACGAATCGATGAGTCGAATCGGCGATCGAAACGGATCGGTGGAAATCGGCAGCCGAGTCGGGAAAAGTCGAATCGGTAGACATTGGCAGGCTAGTAGGCGTCCACAAATAAATCTAATCCCAAATCGAAATCCGATGTCGAATCGAATCGGGATCGGAATCCATCGACATCGAATCGAATCGAATCGGAGGAATCGCCATGAGCCATGCATTTTAATCAACCCCCATTGCCACCCGCCCGAAACGAGGAAGGTCGGAGGAGCAAGATGGGAGGGCCGCAGGGCTTCTCGTGCCCGCTCGCTCGGCTCTTTACGAGGGACGGAGGTGTCAAGCCATGACGAGGACACATTCGGGTGAGGATAAATCCTCCTCCTCCTCCTCCTTCTCCTCGTCCACGTCCTCCTCCTCCTCCTCCTCATCCTCCTCCTCCTCCTCCTCCGCCTCCTCCCCCCGCGGTAAGACGAAACCAGCCAGGACGAGGATGAATCCGGATGAAGATAAATCGAGAATCTCTGAGATCGGGTGGCTCTGGAAAATCTCTCGGGCGCCGTGGCCTTCTCCGAGCGTTCCGGAACGCTTTAAGAGCGTTGCGGAACGCTCCGAAACGGATTCATCCTCGTCCCAGCTCCGTCAAGTGTTCGCCTCCCTCCGCTCTGCTGACGAGCGGGCCTGCACGCAAGACGCCCGCAGGCCAAGACGGTCGGGACCTGGAGGAACTAGAAAAGGACGAGAAACAATCGACAGGATGGATAGCGTTATTGAAGAATTCAAAGGGAAGTAGGAAGGATTGCCTGGACATGAGGGCTATGAAGTCGCGTTTGAGGACACATGCCGCTGGACTGCGTCGATAATCTACTGAAACGTCACCGATGTCAGTCCACAGAAACGTCACCCAATCTGCCAAATCATGCCACCCGACTGGTCGCGCGTGGTCCGGTAACACTGCACTGTGGTGAACCTGCGAGTCGCCGGTCTGGGCAACGTGTTCACTGCGAAGTGCCCACTGGCGTCGTCATCGGCGCGGCGCTCGTCGAGTCCTCCTCCTCGGCCATCTTGAACGAGGCCGGAGTCCAAGGTGTCCACCCAGAGAGGCCCTCGTCATCGTCGTCCTCTGCCCACAGCGAATCGTCCAGCGACGGCGGATGCCACGCCGCCGCGGGGGCACTGGCGCTGCTCAGCATGCGGTGCATCCTGTGGGCTGGCTCCGACCCCGTCGAGGGCTGCGCGCTGGAGCTCTCCTCGCTCGTCGCCATCTCCTCCTCCTCCTCTCCACACTCGGACTCAGCAGAGTGATCCCGCGCTTCCTGCTCCTGGAGGGCGGAGGTGGCATCCGATGCCATGACTGCTTGAGCCTCCCAGGAATGCAGCGGCGACTTGGGCACCAAAGGCACAGCTCTCCCTGCAAAGCTTGAGACAACATGGTTACGGATGCCATCTTTGGCCGTCTTGGGGACACCTTGGACCATCATGAAAGCAGCCTAGATCACCTTGGCGAGTTTGATGCTCGAGACAAGAATAGGGAAGGGCTATAGGCTGAAAAGGTATCTAGAGCCACCGTTATGGATGAGACGGCAATCAAGAAAATACGGGAGACCGTAGAACTGGAAGAAGTCGGAAACCTGGGGCCACATCCTCAAAGCCTGTGACACGGCAGAAAGCGTGGTGCTTCGCGGGTGCACCCCGAAGCAGTTGTAAGCTTTCCTGACCGCCCAGGCAGCGCCCTCCTCACTCGTATCTGCTGATGCAGAAATCTGCGAATCTCCCTCATGCCTCCAAGAGCCCTCGGATCCGCTACGAGGCGGCTCCACGTGGCCACGGAACTCCCCAAAAAGTCCCCTGAGAGACACCCCAGCAGTGCCCGATAGGCTCCCGAGAGAGCTCCAAGAAGGGCTGCCTTCATCCCCCTTCAGGGTCGGCGGCACCGGCCGTGAGGCCTTCCTAATATTGGAGAGCGTGCAACTGTAGGAAGTCGGTTAACTGGGACCACTCCCTCAAAAAGTCTGCAGCACGGCACGCAGTGTGGCATTCCGCGGGTGCACACGGTGGCACTCGCAGGCACTCCTGTGGCCCCTTCTGGGGCTCGGACCCCCTTATCTACGGCGACGACGTCGGCAAAGTCCACGGCGATGGCGGCGGCGGCGTCGGCGAAGTCGACGGCGGCGGCGACGATGACGGCGAAGCCGACGGCGACGACGTCGTCGAAGTCGACGACGATAGCGAAGTCGACGGCGACGGCGGCGGCGAATTCGACGACTTCGACAGCGCTGCCGCCTCGTGCTCGGCGACCTCCTCCAGGCGCTGCGCGGCCAGCGCTGCGTCCAGCCTCGCCCCAGTGGCGGCGTGGGCGGCGTCGCGCGACATGTTGGCGCTCAGCGCCGCGGACGCGGCCTCCACCTGAAAGAGCGGAACGATCGCCGTCGCTACTTTCCGCGGGGCCAGCGGAACGATCGCCGTCGCTACGTGCCGCGAGGGCACCTCAATCCCCCTCCTCCTCCTCCTCCTCCTCCTCCGCCTCCTCCTCCTCCTCACCACCACCACCACCACCACCACCACCACCACCACCACCAGCATAATCAGAATCAGCATCACCATCACCATCTCCATCACCCCCCATCACAATAAGAATCACCACAATCATAATAAACATCATTACCACCACCACCACCATCATTATCATGAACGTCATCATCATCGTCGTCATCATCGTCATCATCGTCATCATCGTCATCATCATCATCATCATCATCATCATCATCATCATCATCATCATCATCATCATCATCATCGTAGCCGCCGCCATCGCGTCCGCCGCCGCCGACACCATCATCATCATCATCATCGTCATCATCAGCAGCATCAGCATCATCACCATCACCATCACTCTTAGATGTTCCGAAAAACGCTGAGACTGTTCTTTGCTCGATGTGGAGATTGTCTTTTTAAACTTAGTTCTGGGCGCAATGTGTGACACGCATGTTACGGCCGCTCCAGGGCCATAAACTCAGTTTTGAGGCCCTGGATCACCCCCATGGCCCACCTAAACGTTTCATGTCAATTTGCAGTGCGGTCTCGTTACGTGTTGAGCTATAACCATGCCGCCTGCGAGACGCTCACTTTCTGGGGTGCCCTTTCTCACGTGTCGTAAAACGAGCAACGAAAAGTGAGAACGTGGAGGATAACTATGACCATCAAAATCACGACGGAAGCAGGCCCACGGGGTGCCCGTCTCTCAAGAGGGCGCTCTGTCCGCAGAGAGAAAGGCATGCTCGTAGACCTTTGTGGAGACCTTTGAAGGGCGGGGGGGCTGGGCGGTGTATGGCAGCATCGCTGATCCATATTCCCTCCACTCTCCTAAGCCCCATGCTCCCTTCGACCCCTCAATATTGGCCCGCTCCCACGCCCCGCATGGAGCAAGCGCTGACCAAGATTTCGAAGCGGACCCAACCGTGGCGACGCTACTCCCCCCAGGTACCCCACCATGCGCGGAACGCTCCTGCTGCGCCTCTGCTTGCGCCTCCCATTCAATCCTCCACCCCTGCGAAGAGGGGCGAGGACACGAGGGGGTGATGGGAGGCAGAGGGAAGAGGAATCGGATGGCGAAGCAGAGGAGCAATCGGCGGCGAGTTCGGCCCTGCACTCGTTTCACTGCTTTTCGCCATTCTTTTTGTTCTGCTGCGCCCGCCAGGCTTCATTCGTTGGCCCTTGGGCTGAGTCAGCACCTAAGTTTGTTGCAAGACATGTGGAGCGCAACGATCTCCGATCCATGGCTGTGCAACGTAAAAAAGGCGGCGGCGAGAGCGGCGAACGGAGGGATGCGGGAGGGTGGAGGAAGGCCTTCTCTTCCTGCTGCTGCTCCTCCTCCTCCCCGCCTTCCTGCTCACATGCGAGGCGGGAATTTATCGGTATCCTCCGCCTGGGAACCGACGTCCTGGTGCCCCAGCGGGCGGCGGATATGGATACATGTTGCCCCCCGTGGGCCCGAATAGATCCATATCCCCCAGCCTGGGGAGGTCCGCAAAGATCGATCCCACAGGCGGTGGTCATGGGTAAAGCCCCGCCCTCCTGCTTACAGAGGCCCACCGCGACACCAGCATCGAATTTCGGTCGAACCGACGGCGAGCCAGAATCCCATCCAAACCAAGGGACCGGGCGCAAACCGGAGGAACACGCAATGTCAGGGGGGCGTAAGACCCGGGTACAGGGGACTCGAAAATCCCCGACGAGGTCGTCAACAAAAACGACGAGGCCGAGCCTGCATTTTGACGAGACCTCCCGCTGCAGACATCCCACGAAACTCCTACTCGTCAAAATCCGAATCGCGATCGTCAAAAAAACGATGGCGAACCCGAGTCCTGGCAAACCCGGGTCTTACGCTCCCCCGACAATGGTGCAACAACCGACCGAGCCGGACCGTGTCGTGGACACCCATGCTGCCCCCTCCCGCCCCCTCCCCCCCCGCTGTGATCGGCCGGGGGGCTCGTTGCACAGACGCCCCAGCTTCCAAACCGATGGGAAGCTGGAGCGCCTGCGCGACGAACTCCTCAGCCGAGTTGTTTGGCTGGAGGCATCCCCAATCGGAGTAGGGTCGGAGCATCGCGCTGCATCGCCAGTGCACCGGCAACGCATCGATGATGCATCGGCGACGCCGGCGATGCATCGACGACGTCGGCGTGGAGAACCTCGCGGCCAGGAGCGGACGACGAGGCGATTACGATGGCGGTGGCGGCGACGACGACGACGACGACGACAACGAGGGCGAGGATGACGACGACATACGCGGGCGCACGGGCCTCGGCGGCGACACCGACGACGACGATGACGACGGCGACGAGGACGACGACCGACGACGACCGACGACGACAAACGACGACAGACGACGACGACGACGGCGACGACGGCAGCGACGGCGGCGACGAAGTGGGCCCACGAGCCTCGGCGGATGCGGCGGCGGCGGCCTCGCGCGGGGCGGGGGGGGAGGGCAGGGCGCGCGTGGTCCTGGCCTCGTGGCCGCCGCCGCCGTCGCCGGGGTGTATGTCCTGTTGCATGCAATTTTTCGTGGGAGCCTTAGGGAGGACACCGATACGCCTGCAAGGGACCTTTGGGTCATCGGAAGCCTGCGGAAGCGAAGGACGTCATCGGTCGTTGATGCAGGTCGTGGGCGTCGTCTTCGTCGTATTTGCAATCGGCGTCGCGTCGCCTGACCGTCGTCGATGGAAGAATCGAACATCCAGGATCGAAGCTCGAGGTTTCCTGTGCGTGTTGGGACCCTCCTGGGTTCCAGAGAGAACCTTGTGCCCACGGCTGGATTCGCCTCGAACCTGTGGTGCGGTCCATGAAATGTCCAAGGGGGTCGTCGTCACCGCCGTCTCCGCTGCCGTGTTCGGGGCGGCGGAGGAGAGTCGACAAGAAAGATGAAGAAAACCTTGGATTCGAGGGGAAGGGAAACAAAGAGAGGAAACGGGGACGAACGGGGGAGGTGTGGGGGAGGCGTGGGGGGGTAAGATAAGGCGGAGAAGGACAAGGCATGGACGGAAACACGAAACATGATGGCAACGGTAATTGTATGGCTGTGCCCGACATCGAATATCCTGCTCGTCTTCCTTCTCGTAGTCATTATCTTTCCCCTCCTCCTCTTTCTCCTCCTCCTCCTCCTCCTCCTCTTGTTACAAACGGCTTCTCGAACCGCCGACAGCGACAAAACAACTCACATGCTTAGTCACACATCGCACCTGTGATCCAACATTTGCGGCCCTGGCATCTGCCACCCGCAGCAGCAAACACCAGTCCACCTCCTTCCGTCGTCTTTCGCCCGTGGGCCATTCCCGAGCGTCTCTGGAGAGCGCCCCTGCGGCGGGCACGGGGCCGGCCCCGGAACGCCCCTCCTTGACACTCTAACAGGTAGGCTCTAACACCACGCGGTCGGTCGCAAGAACAGCACATGCACACCACGGGCATTCCAACGAAGGGTCGCCCTCTCGCAAGCGACACAAGGCCTCCCATGAACACCGCCAACGTAGGCTGGTGTTTCTGCGTGCTGGCGATGACGGCCTTGGGCCGCTTCGCGTCGTAGTGGGCAATCCTGCACGCCTGCGCGTCCTTCCGTGTCGTACCCAGACAATCGAGGAGATTGGATGATGCCACTACGCTGCGCCGAATGTGGGGTCCAGACATTTGGGGAGTGCCAGTTATCATCCGTTCAGTCCAAAGAGATCCTCTCTTCGACCCCGTGGTGGTACCATTTCCACTGCGGCATTTTCCTCCGCCCCGTCCACCACAGGTGCTGTCGAATAGTGCGTGCCAAGGTCCGTACGGTCCCCCAAGCGCCCGGCCTACTGCCGCCGTTCGTTCCCATGGACGACGTCCGCGCTGCGGCGACGAGCGTCGCCTGCTGCGCGCGGACACGTGCGTCGACCCTGTGACCCACGACCAGGCACTTGAGGCAAGGCGACGACAATGGTGGTACATCTGCGGCGTTGTGGACGGCCGCCTGGAGTCTGTCCGTGGCCGCGCGCGGCGGCGTGGAGTTGGACCACCCATCTTGAGTCGAAGAGTGGCCCCACAGCCATCGCCTCCTGTAGCTGTCGGGGAAGGAGCGGCGGCAACCGCGCGCGTTCCACCTGTCGTTGCGTTTGGACACGCGTTTGACCTCATTGGCGTAGAGGCGGCCCTGGGAAATGATGTCCGCGCGGACACCCCGCGCCTGCAGCTGCCGCCGCTTCCGCGGGTCACGGCGCGCACACTACTTCTTGCCGTCGTTTACTACCTTTCCCAAGGCTCGTGGCCAATTGTCCCAGATGCCCGCGGCGCCAAACATAGCGTCGAGAATGCGTGGCGTCCGCGCACGGCCGTCACCGCACGACGCGGTGTGACCCATGGCTCCTGCGCGGCAACCTCACAGAGCCGACCTGTGAGCACCGTAAGAGCCAAGGCGGACCGCGGATCCCCCTGTGGAAGGGAAGTGGACGCGCATTCTGGCTGCTCGGCAATGGCCCCGTAGCTGCGCAGCCACCGTCGTTGGTTGGACCATTGCCTTCCCAGCATCTTCGCAAAGTGGCTGGGCATACCCATATGTTCCACTGGTGTCGTTGCTGCCGTAGAATGTACCCTATCGAACGCCAAGCTGTAGTCCCAAGACGCGCCGAACTCGCCAGCCTCCAGTGCAGCGACGACCCGTTCCGCCGCGTCGTGCACCGCAACACCCTTCGTTACTACGCGGGCCTCTTGCGGACACCAATGCTTGCACCAGGCGGCGCAGGAGGCAGATCGCAGGCGATCTGTTGCGCATTCCCTGCACCATGAACTGAACACCGTGATCGGTCGGAAATGTTCAACCAGGGAGAGGTCTCCCCCCGCTGGCGGGCTCTCCTTGACGAGATGGAAATGCCGCACCATTGGCCACGGACTCGGTAGGGCGTCCGCAATCTCGACGGCGTCAAACACCACGGAGACGGCCGAGGCCACGATGACATCCATATCAGCCATATCTGTCCCAGACCATCCGTCGCTACCTGCGCTGTGCCCCGCTGTCGTCCCAATCCCGTTGCGGGAACCGCTTGGTCCACATCCGCATTTTGTCTTGCCACCTCTCTGGGACGTCCCGGTCCAAGATGTTCCACCGCCGCTTTGACAGTAAATGCAACGCCTCCTCCGTGCTCGTGGCGGAAGTTGTCGCAGCGTGGGCGGTGTTGCAATCCTCGTGCAATGGCGCGCCCCGCACAAACGCCTCTCCGCGCAACCGATTGTGTACCCGTCGACGGCTGTTCCGGACGTAGCCGTGCCGCCCGTGCCGGTCCAGCAACGCAGGCATCGGTTCTCCGCGTCCCGTCGTAGCTCCTGCCACCGACCACCTTTTCACACCGTCGCCCACAAGTAGTCGTAGGCAGGCTGCTGCCGCGCGCAGGCGTTGTCGTAACACGCAGGACTCGTCATCCCTCCCCCGGTCGCGGCGCACCAAGTGCAGCAGCGCCGGCTGCACTCCGCGACGGAACTCATGAGCTGGCGTTCCCGGAAGGGCGGCTGTGGAACCCCGCAGTTGGCCCACACCAGCTCTCGCTTCCGCTGGGCCTCGCCCTTATGACACGCCCAATGGGGTATCCCGTGACATCCGCACGCTGCCCGTGCACAGCCGCCTGCAGTCGTAGTGCTCTCCCGGCCCCGGTCCGCCCCGCCTCGGCCTCCACGGCCTCCTGCAGCATGAGCCAGGCCCGCTCCCCCGATGTCTCCACAGCAGCGGAGAGCTGCCGCCACAGGTCGTCTGTCCAACGCTGCGCGCCCGACGTTCCCTTGACCCGAGACGCATCGTGCACAGCATCCCTTCATGTGTGCTCGTCTTGGTTCCATTGTCTGCTTGCCACATTGAGCACCGCTCCGCGTCGACACCGTCCCGTTTGGCCGCGCACTGGTGTCTGCACACCTCCCACTCGATACATAGGGGCCGTCAACGTCCGCCACCGCCCTCCCGTCGAAAGAACGAGCGAATCCTTCGCGTTTCGGACCACGGCGTGGTTGATGCACCGTGCGGTGTCCATTCTCAACAACAAAAGGGCTGCCCTGCCCGTCGCGTGCCATCACGTGTTGGCAATGCTCCCTCGGCACAAGTACTTCCACCAGTGCCGTGTTCCAATCTCCAACCGCCAGGAATGCACCTGCTCCCACTGCCCCCTCCGTCCCATGCTCCTCCTCTTCCACCTCCTCCTCCTCCTCCTTCTCCTCCTCCTCCTCCTTCCCTTTCTCCAACTCCTCCTCCTCCTCCTCCTCCTCCTCCTCCTCCGCCTCCTCCTCCTCGCCCCCCTCAACCCTTCTCCTCCCGCCCTCTCCCGAAGGGGCGCTCCTCCTGCTCCCGGGGCAGCGGCCGCCCCGCAGACGGCGGCGACGACGGCGGCGGCGGCGGCGAGCTCGCGACCACCACGCCGACGACGACGACCGTGACGACGGCCAGCACCGCCACGCCCAGGACGCCGCCGACGGCCCACGCCGCCGCCGCCGACGTCGTCGCCGCCGTCCCTGCGCCGACGACGGCGTCGCCGCCCGGGGGGCGGGGGCCCTCGCCGCACGACCCCGCCTCGGCGTCGGCGTCGCCAGCCGCGACCTTCTCTCTCTTTGGGGCGCTGGGCCGCGACGGCGACGACGGCGGCGGACGACGGCCGCCGACGACGACGACGAGGGCGACGACGACCGACGAGGGACGACGACGGAGGTGGAGGCGACGAGGACGGGCAGGAGGCCGTCGTCGGAAGGGCGAGGGCTTAGGGAAGAGTCCGTCCTGAGGGGTTGCCAGTGGTCCGGGCTGCCCCTCGGTGGGTCCTCCGCGCTCGTAGCAAGCCAGGAAACTAGCTAGTGTGGCGATCTGGAAAAGCGCCTGGGGCGACTGTCATCGCGACATTGGGGGTCTGGGGACCCCCCCCCTCTCCGCCTCCAGCCCCGATGTGAGGATCTGCATGTGAGGATCCGCACGCCTTGCTCCACGTCCTCGTAGGCTGGGCCCTCTGTGGAAGAAAACAGCATGAATCTCCAAGTAGCGAGGGCCGTCGACTTCTGCCACTCGTGAGCCCCGCCTTTCATGGATGGATGTCAAATGACGCTATGCGCCTACACCCGTCCTGGCCGAGCCCGAGCCCATGCACCCCCCCCTGCTTGCATCAGGAAGGGATGCACACAGGCGCTCCCTCCGACGTGCCACTGGCCCACAGATGGCGAAAGAAGGATCACATGCGCGCCCCGCGTTGCAACCGCCTGTCTCGTTTGTGGACGACATGAAGCATAATGACACATGGTGGCCTCGTCAGCCCGTCGCTCTACGCCCGGGCGGTCGCGCGACGCCTACCCCGACGACGGATGGCGGTGGAGTAGTGAGGGCCTCCGCCCACCCCCTTGGGAGCCAGGGGCCTTGGAACAGGAAGGCGCTACAAAGAGACTGGCGGCTGAACAAAAATCCAAACACACCTACAGTAGGGGCCCGACCGCAAGAAACCTTCCACAAGAAACCCAACCCTGAGACCCCGGTCCCTCCATCGATTTTCGGTGTGGGAGCGTCACGCTTTCCATCGCAAAACCATCGAAACCATCGAAACCCAGGGCACCCTGGAGGCAAGAAAGGTGTTTCTTGGCATGGGCCTCCACTGTACCTCCCGAGAAAGATGGATGGGTGCACACCCTGTTGCTCGTCGCGGCGCCAGGGGCCGCACTGCGCGGGAGAGCCGCGGCTGGGCACAGCACAACGAATCGCACACCGCTGACACATGGTAAAGGCATCGGATCCGGCGGTTGCTCCCTCGGACCCGCCGCGGCCTGCAACAGTCGTGCTGTTGCAGGCCGCCTGTGGATCTGACGCCAACGGGGGCACTCGACACGGGGTGGGGGAGGTGGAAAGGATCTCCCGCCTTGGGTTGGACAAACTGCCCTCCAGCACCCTCTTGCAAAAGCCCATGACCCAGACCGGGGAGGCAGACACACACCTGCCGGCCGCACCCGGCCGCCGCCGCGCTGCCAGGCCACGACCCAGTGCAGAAAGGAGGCGGAGGATGACGAACGAACAACACACACCCATACCCACAGGGAGGTCGTTGGGAGGAGGACTGGCTATTGGTGTGGGTGCGGGTAGTCGGACCCTGGGGAACGCTCCCGTTCGAACGGGGACCCCCATCCGACAACACGCACCCATAGCCCTCTCCGACCCCCCTATGGGTATGGGTGTGTGTTGTTGATTCGTCAGAGGAGGAGGATAGAGCAGGGGCGTCCCGGCGGAGGAGGAAGAGGACATGGGGCTCCCAGCGCGGCGAATGAGAGCCAAGGCCCGAGCCACCCTGCGGGCACACACATTTGAAGGGGCCCAAGGACACACACACATTAAAAAACCATGCAAATTAAGATATTCCCCATATTTCCCCATGTTTTCTGGGATTATGTCTTCCCGCCCACTTCCCATATTTGCCCATATTTTCGGGAGAATCGAGGATTCATTGTGTCTGTGTGTTTCTTTTCCTCCTGAATGTTCACAAGAATCGAGAGGACGGAACCGTCCGAGCGACCCTGACGAGCCCACGGGGCAGTAAACCCACCCCACCACCAATCCATTGGGATTCCTACGCGACGCGGCGACAGACCGCGCTGTGACCGTGGACGCCCCCGAAGACCCCGCTGCACAGCCCGCCACCGCATGGCTCTGGGGACCTCCAGGGGCCCCAGTCGCCCGCGACGCCCGTGGAGAACGACCCTGAGTCCCAAGACCGTGCGGCCACCCCGAATCCCCACCGGCGAACCTTGTGCATGCCATGGCAATGGACACTCTAACAATCCTACCACTGAGTTAATCATGTGTTTGACATGTGTAGACCATGTCCCAAAAATGTTCCAAATCTGTTTTCACATATTTAAAGCAGGTCTGAAGCCTGTTCTAGACATCTGGAAATTATTTGGCAGCACGCTCCCTCTCCATGGATCGACTTCCACAAGACGCACCACACAGCTCGGTCACCGCAACGCGACGCGGTGCGGTGACGCGGGGCCCCCCACGCACCGCGTGGGGCGCCCCGGGATCGGGCCCACAGGCCAGCCCCCCCCCCCACCCGGAGCAGGCCCGCCGGCCAGGCAGCCAGCCGTGCTGCCGCGGCGGCGCGGGGCCGCGGCGGCCTCTCCCCGGGCGTGCCGTGGCCGGCAGGCCACGGCGGGGCCCAACGCCCAGGGCGCCCCCCAGGGCCACAGCAACTGCCAGAGACCTCCCCCGCCCGCGGTCCTCGAGGACGACGACGCCTGCGACGTCAGGCGACCACGCCCGCGACGGCGGCGAGGGCGGACGGCGACGGCGGTGGCGACAAAGGGCAGCGGCCACGGAGGCGGCGACGGCGGCCGCAGCGACGGCGGCGGCCGCAGCGGCGGCGGCGGCCGCAGCGGCGACGACGACGACGACGACGACGACGACGACGACGACGAAGACAACGACGACGACGACGACGACGACGACGACGACGACGCAGGCGACCTCGGCCGCGCGCAGCGTGCCGCGCGCGGCGTCCAGGCGCGACAGCGCCTCGGCCGCCGCGGCGGCGGCGCGCGCACTGGCGGACTCGTTGCGCGCGAGCGCCTCGTGCGCGGACCTCGCGGGCGGGCGGGGCCCGGCGTCGGGCAGGGTGCATGTCGGGCGTTGGCAGAACTGGGTTTAGGGGAACCTGGTTTAGTGACTTGTACCGGGGGCGCCCCCCCGTCCCATCTCCACTAACCGGAACTGCCGTGACCCGAAAAACACCAGTTACGGCAAACCTGGTTCAGTGAATCTGGCCAATTGAGGGGCCCCAGGGCCCTACCACTAATCGTGTCCCCTTACCCGGGGTCCTGGCTATACCCGAACAGGGTGCCCATCGGTCGGAAGAAGTGGGTAGAACCATGAAGTAGGAAGGCGTTGGAAACAGGTTGGGCTTGCGCCCGCTCCCTGAAGAGGAGGGCAGGGGGAGAAAGCTCGACTCTTGGAGCATGAAGGCGGCTAAAGT